TAAGCATTGTTTCTGAATTCCCTTCATTTCAGCATTCAGGATATTTATTACTCTTTGAATCAGATACAAGTGCAAATATGAAAGTCACAGCTGAAATTCAAACAAAACAACCGAGGGAGAAGGAAACAAAAAATTATTTTCTCACCAAATATACCTAGTTTTTGTGTCAATTCCACAGCCTTGATACACTGAATAGCATCTTTGGGATGTTAAATGGTAAACCACGAGTATCCCAACAGCCAAAACAAAATTTGAGAAATTTATCTAGTTATAGCTATGAACTAATGTTTAAGATGGACAATGTGCAATAATATTTCAAAATCGTCAGACCCATCTACTTATTTGCTTCTTCATACTCGGCTTCAGGGGTCTGCTCTGATGTTGAACTACCACCTGAAGCACCACCTGAAGCGCCACCAGAACCGCCTGACATGTGTTCTCCAATCTTTGAAACAGCCTTGTTAGCAGCATCAGTCTTGGCTTTGATCTCTTCAATGTTGTCCTTCTCCATGACACTTCTCAAGTCGGATACAGCATCTTCAATTTCCTTTGCAACTTCACTTGGGATCTTCTCCCTGTATTCACCTAAACTCTTCTCTATGCTGTAGATGGTTGTGTCTGCTGTATTTCTGGCATCGATAAGAGACTTCCTCTCTTGATCTTTTTGGGCATGTACTTCAGCCTCCTTAACCATCTTCTCGATCTCATCCTCTGAAAGCCCACCAGAGGACTTGATGGTAATTTGTTGCTCTTTGTTGGTAGCCTTGTCTTTAGCAGACACAGTGACAATGCCATTGGCATCAATATCAAAGGTCACCTCAATTTGAGGAAGGCCTCGTGGAGCAGGTGGAATGCCCTGGAGTTCAAATTCGCCGAGCATCTTGTTGTCAGTGGCCATCTCACGTTCACCTTGTAGAACCTTAATTCCCACCTGAGTTTGGTTATCAGCTGCAGTTGAGAATACCTGAAATTGCAAAAACAGGACAATAAAGATGCATTAGAGACAAGCAGATAACAAAAAAACACAAGACAAAGGTAAGGTAGCCAGGAACAAGGGTCTACACTGCCGTAATTTATTCTAAGTGCAACCAAGACAACACAAGATGTTATATCTCAAAATATCAGATTACAAGCATGTTATGAAAAGTGGTGCCCATAAACATTGAACATAAACAGGGATCAACTCAATAGTCTGGTTAACTTCAACTGGCACAAGTGTCTACATTAGTCACATTTAATACACAGAAGGAAAAAAAAATGCAATGTATCAAACAAAAAATCTCAAGTATTCTATCCAAATAAAATAATCTTGCGGTGAATTTCAAAGAGAGAACAGAAGTCAAAACCCAAATAACGCTAATCCTATCTTTGTAGGATAACAAACCAAAAAGATAAAAATAATAACAATGCATTACCTGGCTCTTCTTAGTGGGAATGGTTGTATTTCTGTTTATCAATCGAGTGAAAACACCACCCAATGTTTCAATACCGAGAGAAAGGGGAGTAACATCCAAAAGAAGCAATTCCTTGACATCACCCCTCAATATGCCACCCTGAATGGCAGCACCCATAGCAACAGCTTCATCAGGGTTAACTCCCTTACTTGGAGACTTGCCAAAGATCTCCTGGACAATCTCTTGCACCTTGGGCACACGAGTCATACCACCCACAAGAAGAACCTCATCGACTTCATTAAGGGAGACACCAGCATCCTTCAAACAATTTTTACAGGGGGAGCGGGTCCTTTCAATCAAATTCCCTACAAGAGACTCAAATTTTGACCTTGTGAGAGTGATGTTCAAGTGCTTTGCACCTGAAGAATCTGCACTAATAAAGGGGAGGCTAATGTCTGTTTGAGATGTTGATGAAAGCTCAATTTTAGCCTTCTCAGCAGCTTCCCGAAGCCTTTGTAGGGCAAGACGGTCATTACTCAAATCAATGCCTTCGGTTTTCTTGAATTCAGCCACCAAGAACTCCAACAAAGTGTTGTCAAAGTCCTCTCCTCCCAAAAATGTGTCACCATTTGTAGCTTTAACCTGATTGAGAGCCACATATTAGTATTGATGAAAAGCACAGCAATGACAAACTCACAACAGAAGAAAGAGAAATTACCTCAAAAACACCATTGGATATCTCAAGAATAGAGACATCAAAGGTTCCACCACCAAGATCAAAAACTGCAATAAGACCCTCCTTATTTGTCATTCCATACGAAAGAGCAGCAGCAGTAGGTTCATTAATAATTCTTTGAACATCTAGTCCTGCAATTCTCCCAGCATCTTTAGTTGCTTGTCTCTGAGCATCGTTAAAATAAGCAGGGACAGTAACCACAGCCTTTGATACTGATTTTCCAAGATAAGCCTCTGCAGTTTCCTTCATCTTCGTCAAGACAAAGGCTCCAATCTGACTTGGAGAATATTGTTGGCCGTTGGCTTCAACCCAAGCATCTCCATTTGGAGCCCTCACAATCTTGTAGGGAACCATTTTCATCTCCTTTTGGGTCTGGGGATCATCAAAATGCCTTCCAATCAAACGCTTAGTCCCAAAGATTGTGTTGGTAGGGTTGGTTACTGCTTGACGCTTGGCTGGAGTTCCCACAAGCAGCTCACCTTTAGGATTGAATGCTACAACTGAAGGTGTCGTGCGAGCACCCTCAGCGTTTTCAATAACTTTGGCATTCTACACAAAACAATCAACAAATGAAATGTCATCCCAAAATCATTAAATGTTTTTAATTAAGCCACAAGATAAACACTTGGTAGGTGAATTTTAACTACCTTTCCCTCCATGACGGCAACACAAGAGTTTGTGGTACCCAAGTCAATACCAATCACATCATTGCCAGCAGGTCTTGCACTGTATAAGAAAAGACATAGGTAAGGAACAAGATACATTGCCACAATTCACAATGGAGAGAAATAGAAGTTAACAAGTATATACCTGAAAGGTCTCACCAAATTCGACAATCTTTGCGCCATAAATGGACTAGACAATGATGGACTGGCATTTCCAGCCAACTATACAGACAAAACACAACCGAAAGATTAGGATCAATCATCAGTACATTTCAAAATTATTCAAGTAATACAGCAGCGGGAGAACTAAACTGGAAACGAGCACGGGGTAAGAACCCAACCAATTACCAAACCAATTTTAATCACAATATATATAATCACAACACTAGAAACTAAAATCATCCCAGTAACTTATAACGTTACACAAACATTAAACCTCAAAGATGATGAAAAAATAATGCAAATGTAATTTCAAAAGACAAATCACTGATCAGTACTCAAATGAACAAATTTTCAGCCAAGCAACAAACAAAATGAAACATAAAGGTATAAACATGGTAATCTTAAGAAGAAATTTCGATATAATTATAGCAGGGGAACCTCAACATGTATTCAAAAGCATGAAATCAGCATTATTATTCGAAAAACATGCTAGAACACAAACCATAAATTCATCATCTATCATCATATTGTATACTATCCAACTACAACACTAAGTTCGTTAACTCATCCACGATTACAATTAAATCTCCCCTTTAACAAAAAACCTAAAATCAAAACATCCTATAGTCAATCAAACAACTCCAGATCAGTAAATCAAACAATCAATCAACCAATAACATCAAAAAACTCAAATCAAATCAAACAAAACACAAACCCTAGCTCAACAAATTAAAATGAGAAAAAGAGCAAAAAAAAAAAGTACCGATTTGAAGGCGGGAAGAGAGCGGAACTGTTGAGGGCGGAGACAGCGGCGGAGAACGGTAGCCATGGTAGAAAAAACAGGAGAGAGAAAGGAAGGAGTAGATCTGAAGGAAGAAGACGGTGGAAATGGTGGGTTTAGGATGAATTCAAGGGTTTTTCTCTCTCCTCTTAAAGTTCTTATAAAATGAGGTTAGGGGTTTAGGGTTTAAGGGGTGGAGGAAATGAGAGAGGGTCGAATCGGACTTTCTAGATTTGTATTATCTTCTTTTCCAAGCTACATGACATGGCCACCCCTACACCGCTTTTTTTTTTTTCTTCTCCTTTTGGTAACGTGTTAGTACGTCTTTTTTTTTTTTTTTTTTTTTTCTTCTTCTACATAGTAGGTTTATACTATCTTCATTAAATGTACACCAATTTAACATAAAGCAGAGAGGGAATGTCTAATCGTTGCACATAATCTGTAATTAAGGTAATAAAATTATAAATAAACGAACTAATATTATTCGTACTAAGGGGTTGTTCTCATACGTTCAAATTCAGTTTACTTCAGTTTCTAATTTCCTTCTCTTATAAAATATTCAATTCATTTCAGTTCAGTTCAGCTGAGTTCGGTCAATGAGAACATGCCCTAATACATGATGTATCGATAAATTAGTACATTAGCAAGTGTAACGAGCTTGAACATATAAGTATTAGTTACTTTGGAACGAATGTAATATACGGAGTAAGCAATTAAGCTAGGTTGAAAAGGGAATTTTGTCCAAATACTTGAGGTTGTTAAGAGGACAATTTTTTTATATGTTATTATTAGAGTTGGTTTGGTTATATTTATTAATATTGTATTTATGTTAAGTTTATCTTGTTAGGAGTTTTAGGCAAGTCATGTATTGTGTATATATATGTGAGTATGATCAATACAAAGGTTAAGCCGTTTTCTCCACAATATTCTTGAGTTTAACATGGTACCAGAGCCAGGCCCACGGTATGATACTCTAATGGTTTGAGTATATTGCCAGACCCAAAGTTTGGGACCTTTAATGGCATTAAGTATTCTGGGCCAAATTGAATTGGATCAAGTGATCCTTGAGTTAAAGGGACCTTACATGTGAGGGGGAGTGTTGAAGAATAAACCTCTCAAGTGTCATCACATGTAAGCGTCCCACATTGGTTGGAGAAGAGAGAATTAAACACTTTATAAGGTTAAGGGGCTACTCCTCCTATTGCTATATGGTTTTGGGATGGAAGCTCCTTGAACTTGTGAAGTAGACTCTCTCTCTCTACAATGAATCTCCTTCAAGTAAGTATGCATCATTTATTGCTAATGGATATTTATTGCTAATGCATCAACATTGAAGAAGTTACAGGGTAATACAAAACCACTCATTGAAAAAATTCCAATCATCTTGACAGAAAAATGAAATAAAAGAATCTGTACATAATGTTAATGACTTGTAAAACGTAACCAAGAACTTCAGCATCGGAAGCTAACAGAAACAGACTATCAGCTATGTTATACGAATTCACTACCAGTGTTTCCAACACGGGTATAGCTAGTCATAAAGACATCAACGCTTCAATTTGGACCAACGTGGGAATATTCATCAAACTATCGAGTCCAACACTTGGACATGTAACAGCCAATACCCGAGACCAAGTAACATAGAGAATCATTGTAAGTTTGGGCGTTAAAATTGGCCTTATCCCTACAAGATCACATAAGATGTCCTCCGCCCTCTGGACAATGGCAATGCAGATAGGCGAAGAATACATGACTGAAGTGAGGACCATTTGTTTTTCATTCTCAATTTGGAGATTACTCCGTATTAATCATTTCATACTCGTTGGTAACCTCCTTTCTCTTTAAGAAATGGCTTTCGGTTCAAAGACCAGCTTCGATTGAAATTCTTCCGGTTCCACCAAGCATTGATACAGGTATAAAGGGATGCAAAAGAGAAGCAAAGAAGCACTAACACGAGTGTAACTGCGCAAATCAACATTACATTTCGGAAACCATCCTTGATGTCAGGATTCCTCTGCATAGTCCATGGAACTCCTCCCACATTCATCCCAAAAACTGCAAGCAAACATTAAACTTTCAGAACCAAAAACTCGTGTATGCCTACTTTTGTTTTTTTCCCTGATCAAATGCATTCCAATAATCAAGCACGATTGAATTATATAGATAAAAGTGTTTACCTCCAGTGATGACTGATAAAGGAAGGAATACAATCGATAGGAATGAGAGGTAATATAATTTCCTGTTTATTTGTTCAGCCTGCCAACTATCTAGACTAGCCTGGATTGCAGTTACTCGGTTTGCTATAAAACCGACATTCTCTTTTAGCCTTCTCAGTCTCCCAATCAACTCTTCAAGAGAGATGATGTCTTCTTGGGCAAACCAATCTTTTGAAGAGCATTTTTCCTTGACACGCGGAAATATTTGTTCTCCATGTGCAATTACCTGCACTCAACAATGCACATCATAAAGATTAATCCTGGAAAAGAGTTGTGTATTCGGAGAAGGAAATTGCTAATATAATTACCTGAAGTAGCCTCTGTAGATTAAGTTGCATTTTTGGAAATCTTCTGTCATCTAACATTTGCTTTTTCAAAGCAAAACCACCTACAATTCATTAACTTGATCAGGCTCAATATCATCAAAAGTAATGAAAATAATCACTAGAAACTCATGAACAAAGGCTTTATTTGGAAATAATTAGCTAAAATTACAAAAATTCAAATCTACAAAATGGGATTACCCTTGATCGCGACACTGCAAATTATAACTAAGAGCTGATAATATGTTCCTGTCACGAATTAACCATCCCCAACACATATTTCTAACAAGCATGACTCGAAACTAAAGATGATCTAAAATGCAGGTGTAGAATCTATACAGCAATACAAAGGATTACTCAACTTGTTAAACCACTTTGCAGACCTAGTGAGCGAATATCAATTTCACCAAGAAGCACAAAGTAGCACAATGCAGCCTATTAGCCTAACAGCAGGACAGTGATATACTAGTAGTACATACATGCAATATGCTTATTCATCATAATGTTCAATACAGATGCAAAAGAATCACTTGAAGCAGCATAATTAGGCATGATGAATTTCAATACAGATCTATATTTATGTTTTAGTTTTCCAGCACGAAAGAAATGATAGAACAAGAAACGATTTTGACCTGAAATACCAACCTCGATCCAAGTCTAGTTCAACTGAATCCAAATCGCTCTCAAGTTTGGTCACAATATCTTGCAGATGATCCACAAATGTATCAATAACATGAATAACAAGATTTGAGACAGAATGAGGGACCAGATTATCAGCCTCCTCAGAATGATTCATTGTCAACAGAAACTCAAGAACATGCTCCTTGATCACAATCCCCCCTCCCCTTTGCTCCCCATTTCGACCTCTAGGAGTATCAACAGCCGGGATCTCTGACAACAAAGACTGACCCATCTTCGAAAACCCAAGCCTCGGAACTCTCCCCAATGAAACAGTAATCACAAGATTCTCAGTAATCCTAGCAGCAAGCCTACAAATATAATCACTAGAAGCAGGTCCAGGGGAGTTGACTCGAAAAACGAGCGCCCCATCAACATAACCACAAAATGGTCCATTGCTAACAAGTGATAGAATGTCTTGAAGCTTCAAAGGAGGACAAAGAACATCAATTAAGTATTTTGCAGAAATTGAAATATTATGATTTGCCTTAGGAAGTTCAATATGATACCAACAAAATTCTTTTCCTTCTCCTGGTTTAAGATCCCAATCTTTACTATGATAATTACCATTGCCATCAAATTTGTAAGCCCATCTTCTTACAAAACCTGGAAAATGTGTTTTCTGGAAATTTCTCTCTCTTAAAGGAGCACTTTCAGATGGTTCTACTACATCAATATCTTCCAAAATACTGCCTTCTTCCTGAGCTAGCTCCATCTTTTTCCAATTTTTTTTGCTATAAATTACTTATTTCTTCCTAATCTAATTCAATAAACCCTAGAATTGAAGATTGAAGAACTCAAATCTGGAATCCTAAAATTAATAAGTTACACCCTAAAAAAATCAAATCTTGAAGTTACCCACCAAATATTAATCTCAAATTTGAAAAACCCACAAAAATTCAACCAAATCCCAGAACTAAACTTCTAAGATTTGTAATAAAACTCACAAATTTAGTATTATCTGAGTAAGAAATAAGATTCCAAATTAAGAAATCCTGATAGATGTATTTATAATGTAAAACCTTTGACAGAAAAAATAAAGCAGGATAATTTTGTCAACCTAAAGAGGTTTTATTTTCTAGAGGATTTGTAGAAAAGTTCAACCAAAAAAATAAAATAGATTATTATTGTGATAGATATGAGAAATTGGCATCTAACAAACTTACCGAAATTGGGTTTCCGGTAAGTTTCAGAATTCCTAAGCTCCTAGGAACTTCTGGGGCCCTACCTCAGCCGAACGAGATAACTGCAATTTAAAAAATTTCCCACTTTGTTGAGTTTTTGTTTTTGTTTTTTAAAAAACCTTAATATTTTTATTTATTTTTGGATATAGCCTTAGCAAAAGCAAAAAAAATAAAAAAAATAAAAAAAAATTCAGGTAACCTAGTTTTGAAAAATTGTAGGTAAATGTCTAAAATTGAGATTCAAGAGTTGCCTTAAATATACAAATAATGTGTAAATATTGCTCTTTATGAGTTTGTAGTTACACATATAATTAAATATTGTTAAATCGGATATCATTATTCTTTCCATAATAGAAGATTTTCCATCTTTTTTCCATCCATAATTAACCAATTTTTTTTATCCAGTTTTTTTTAAAAAAGTGCGGGAATTCATGACAATTGTTTGATATTCATGTTATTTTAATATTGCTTATAATTATATGAGTATATTGTAGTTAGATTATTTACAAAGCAATCTCTGGTTGTAACAGAAGGTGGAGGTGGGACAATGGAGGCAGAAGCGGTGGTGGTACTAATAGCAGTGGTGTGACAGTGGTGGTAAGAGGGGTGGTGTTAGAGAGTGAGTGATGGTAGTGTGATTATGGACGGTTTTAAGTAAACATTTATTTATTTCCCTAATCCCTAATGATGCTACAAGAAGAGTGAAATAGAGGCAGCAGAGGGTTTTTTTTTTTGTTTTTTGTTTTTTTTTGTTTTTTGTTTTTTTTTTTTTTTTTGCCACTTTTGAAATTAAGAGGAGTCTTTTTGCTACTATGTCCACACGTTAGGGGCTCGTTTTATACTTTACTCGGTATAATGGCTACAAAATCGCTGGGTTACTCAATGTAAAATCAAAAGTGAACATTCCTTCCAGTCAGAATATCAAAAATCAAGCCTAATTAATACTTATACATCTCATGAGTGATTTGTTCACTGGCTCTTCTCAGTTTCGTAACCTGCTGCTCTCCCTGTTTTACCAACAACAATAGGCTTCGGCATTGAGCCATCATGGTGTATATCCAGGCCTTGGTATGATCGCATTGCCAAAAATTCTGCCCCAGATTTTGGATCAATGTTGGCAAGGGCATTGACATCTTTGTCCCGAAGCTGGAGGGCCTTTTCTGTTGATACTGCCAAGGCAAGGCCTTCACTGTCATCAGGAATCTCTGAAAAAAAAAACACAAAAATATCCAATTACCAAAAAAAAGTGTATCAAGAATTTTAAGGGCATCAACTATCTGAGCTTTTATTTGTCTACAAAAGCAAATTACAGAGAACGAAATACTAGCTGATAGCCTGATAACATTTATGTAACTTACCTTCATGATCAACATCCTCAACATATCTACCTAAAATGAATGAAAACCGTGGTTCATCCGTGCCAACTTCAATTCCGCATGATGGCATATTCATCAAATCCCTGAACTCCATCGTGTATGCCCCGGTCCACTGGCTACCTCTGAAGAATAGCACACACTACACATATTAAGATAATATATACTCTGTCCAAGTTAACTTGAGACAGGAAAATTTGTTTGGTTGAATCTAGAAGTACTCACTAAGCCACTTATTGTCCATCTATACTCATTTCGAGAAGACGAGAATTGATAAAGAAAGACTAAAATTCAGATCATTGACATGATTAAAAACTACTGATTCTGCATGTTACATGTACAAGGGTGGAACAAGAAAGTAAACCAAACGCAAGATGGTAGATCTGACACACATCCCTTAATGCTTTAAAAGTATCCATGTGAGGAGAGGTCAACAAGGTACTGTTAGAAATTAGCAATGTCTGGGTAACTGTCAAAAATCAATCCAAATAGCCCAATACATCAAGATCATGTTATACTGAATGTGAACCTAAAGGGATACCAAAATTACCAATCCCCTAGATAGTATTAAGGCCAACTGCTTGTTAAAAAAAAATGAAAGGAATAATACTTTATATGCATATGCACAAGTCTGCAGATCAAATTGTAAAGGCAAACATAGTGATTACATGATATCCGCCCCCCCCCCCCCTTTCTCCGCGCAGACCTCCTGAAGAGGTAAAAACTGCGAACATGTATCAAATGTACAATCCCCCCCCCCTCTCTCTCCCCTGAATAAATAAAAACTGCAAAATTTTACATGTAAAAGATGTACATATGCGTAAGAATGCACAAATCTGTAGAAAAGCTGAGCATAGTCATGAACTATCTTAAAATAAATAATCTTCAAAAAGCAGCACCTTTTAAAAGCAAGCATCGCCTCAAACGGAGTGATGATTGGAGCTAGGAACTCTTTGCTATCCAAAAGTGCAGTTTGTGCGCAAGAAACATAAACAAAAACATCACACTGCCGACCAAAAAGGGATCTATTACAGGTCTAATAATCAGAAGTCAGATAACACAAAATAAAAAAAAAACTTAAATATGTGTGAAATCATCTACCTCGGGGAAGTTGGCAAGCTTTGCTGGGTTTGGCCTCCCTACAACAATCGTATAGGCCTTCTTCCCAGCTTTTGTGACCAAATCTTTCATTTGATGAATCATGTGAAGATAACCGGCTGCACCCAGAATAAGAGCATCAACACTTCAACAGCATTCAGAGAAAGTTCTATAGAATGCAGAGAACTAAGGTAAAATAAACATTGCCAATTGATAGCTAAGAAAATTCTAGTGTCATATCGCCAGTCAACGAACGAAGTGTACCTACACCAAGGGTTCCAACCAAAATTCCAACAATACCAGCATCCTTTGCCTTCTCCACCAAGTAGTATCTGAAAGCACATTATAAGTTCATATCGTCAAACTGCACAGAAACCCTTGCATCACCAAACTTAGGGAAAGGAATGACTTACAGGACAGAGAAGATCATGTTCAACATATATAACAAGATGAAGGTTTACTTATATATTACCTACGTTGTAGAATCCTTGTTATTTGGGATACATCTGTTATTAGGGACTTCTCTGCAGGATCATATCTCACTGGAACAAAAACAAATACTTTTATATTAAACAAAAGCAAGTCTCAGAAAAACATAATTGGAGGCAATAACAGCAACACGAGTTTCATAAAAGAGCCATACCAATTTCACATGCATTGAGAGTCAGCACTACATTTGCAAATGCTGAATTATCAGGTCCAATCCAAAAAACCAAGTAATCCTCAATTCGTTGACCATGTAGAATATTCCAAGTGAGACCACTGATGCTGTAAGATGTATGAACTTCAGCATCACCAGCTTTAGGGAAACTAGAAAGGTTATCAACAGTTCCAGCTTGTCCATTAGATGTCATCTGTCCTGTGGGTGGAGCAACAGTCGAAGACAGAACACTAGCACAATTAATATCTAACTTGGATGAAGATGTTGACAATTTTAATGCTTCATCTTCCAATGCCCCCTTCAGATCATGTATTGCATATGTATATTCCAGTCCTAAGAGAACCTAAGCAAACATAAGCGGAGACAATAGACTAATAATCAAATTTGAGAGGTATGTAAAGGTGATACATATGAAACAATATTTTCATGTTTAGTACAGAATGAATGAATGAATAAAGAAATATAGCGAAGAAAAAAAAAAGCACAATTGATATCAAGAACATTATCTAATGAGTTTGTTCTTGTACCAGAACAGGCTTGTTGCAACTTGAAGCAAAAGAGCAGATCTTCTGTGCACAGTCAGAAATATTTATAGACGCCTTTCCAAATACAAAAAATGCTGGAAGAGTTGATGTCCTGCAGTAAGCCAGCACTAAAAGCTAAATAGCAACAAGGGGCAATCTATATGCATGAAAACTTTGCCAGATAAGCACAGGAAATGGCAATATGTGGAAACATGACAACATACTTGAAAAAGAAACAGCATCAATTACTTGATTACTCTACAGTTGCATCTCAAACATGCTATGAATAGATGGGACACGATGTACACAGTAACACACTCACATTCGAAGTACTATACTAAAACAATTATAGGCCAATTTGAAAAGAGTTCCCTAAGATATTAATAACAAACCTATCACTTTCCTACACAATCCCTCCTTACTTTCCCATTCACTACAATAGTTAACAGTCTTAACACTTAACACCGAAGTACCAAACCATGCATGCCCAGGCTATATTCAAATACAAGTGCAAATTCCTGTATTAAGATTTAAGACAATGGAGTATAATAGTAATGTAAAATTAGACACCGAAAGAGTAAATTAGAGGATAAGTTATAGTTCAGACTATAGAAGGTTAATATCAATAACCGAAAAATTATTGTTTCAAACTAACTATTAATAACTATGCAACGGCCAAATACCTATGCCATACCATTGAAGCACACATGAGCACGCACACAACAATTCTATGCAATTCAGCTATACCCTTCCGTTCTCAACCATAGACTAAGAATTCAATTAAATTTTCCATAAGTTCACAAAAACACAAGCACAACAATACCAAAGCTATAAATAATAACTTACGGGCTCAAACAAGTATGTCCATAATGTACAACACATTCGGCATTGATGTGAGCCGCCCCAACCTCATCAACACAACAGCTACCATAAGCTGTATCAGCCATAACATATAAGCCCACATCCTGCTTTCCCTCAACAAGGGTTCCACCTCTATCATCCTCATCACATTTCCGAAGTGCTCGAAGCTTTTCTCGAAGCTCTCTCACAACTCTGATCGAATCTTTCAACAATTCATCAGGAAACTGGTAGTTCATATCCATCCACAAATAAATTCACAAATAATTTTGCTTTTATAATAAGTATAAATTCAATTCAAACAAAACCCAAATAAACCCTAGTCTTCAAATCACCCCTCCTCAAATTAAAAACCATTATACATAAACATTAGTGAAAATTTACATAAAACTAAAAATGGGTATCTTAATTCAATTCATGAAACCCAATTAAGTTCAAGAAACACTAGGGCAATTCTACTAAAAATACAAAAAAATCCAAACTTGAAACTTTATATAATTAAAGATTATAAATTGGGATTAAAGCATGATAAGAACCGCAAATGGGGGTGGGGGGCAGTGATTTTCTTACTTAATTGAGCTGAAATTTGAACAAGCAAAAATTAAGAAGAACAAAATTAAATTGGAAAAAAGATGAAAAGATGAACCTGAAGTGCAACTCTAGTGAAATTATGAGAATGGATATAATCTGCAGTTCGATCAATTTCATAATTTGCTTCGAAATCCATTTTAGGGAGAAATGAGGAGAGAGAGAAGAGGGGAGAGGCAATTCCTCTGTTCTTTCTCTGAAAATGGCGGCTTCATGAAAGCACGTGACGTGCGCATGACTATTTCTGGTTTAATTTTGGACTACCCACTAAGTAAACCCCAGTGAGATGAGCTTGGATTTTCTCCAAACCCATAGGCCCAAAAGATATAGTGGGTAGTGTTTACATTACCTTATGCTTTACGCTAATCAAGTAGCGGATTTGATTGCAAATGTTAAACATCTTTCGTGTGTCAAGCCTCATTATGTTATCTTTACCAATTTGATTGTAAAGTTGCGATTCCTTTACATTGAGTACTACTCCTACTCGTAATATGTTCATCATTCCAAAGAATAAGTTAGCTTGATATTTGTATACGAGTTTACAAATGAGTTAGATTAGTATTGAGTTGACCTACTTTTTAAAATATTATTAATGTAAAACAAAAATTGTAAATATGTGTTTCATCTAAACTTGGTAAGACTAAATTGTATGTGTACCAGTATCCTTTATTCTCAACCCAAACTCTACTCTAAAAATTGCACGACAGGGTAAAACTAAATCAATAGAGTATAACACAAAATTCAATAAATCTAATATTGATGTATTAGATATATAATCACAATAGTTAACGAGTGATTCAACTATAACCTCTAATCTAACACACACAAACCAAACAATTCGATTGTCACCGAGTTTTTTTTTTTTTTTTTTTTAGGTTTTTCTAAGCTATACCCCTAAGGTATTCGAGTTTCTAAGGTGTACTCACGCTTTTTCAAGTTTCTAAGTTGTACCCCTCAACTCACTACCATTAATTAATGGTACCCTCCTTGGGATTTCCACGTCACCTAAAGTTAACTATAAATTTAATAGAAAGATGATAAAAGGTAAGGAAATGGTAGGAGAAAGAAATCTTAGCCACCGGAACCCTAATAATGAAAACTGAAGGCATGAAATCACACTCTCAAATAACTTTTAAACAACTAATAAGGGTACATTTTAGTATTGATAAAGAGTTGAAGGACACAGCCTAAAAACTTGAAAAAACATGGGTACATCTTAGAAACTCGAATACTTTAGGGGTATAGCTTAGAAAAACTTTTTTTTTTTGAACGCTTGGCCCAAAATAAAAACCTTCTTCTAACACGTAAAAACCTAGGCTCTCAGTCCATATTCACAAATTACAGAGTTTCTCACAACATTCTATCATCTCATCAAAATCAGCAACTTTATCCTCTCAAAAATTTGTAATCCAAATTTTGCAACACCAAAATCCCAACCCTTTTCTGAATTTCAAAAAGAAATTCTAAAGTAATGTCACAATCCATAATTGGGGCAAGCAGTATAACATTCCTGAGTGCAGTGTCATGCAACGCAAAGGGAGGAACAAGCTCCAATGGCAATGGCAATAACAAGGGCAAAACAGTAAAAGTGTTGGAGAGAGAAAATAAGAAACAAAAAAATGGTGGGTTTGGAGATAAGAAGAAGAAGGAGCCTTTGTGGCAGTGTGTTAAACAATGTGGGGCCTGCTGTAAGCTTTCTAAGGGTCCCAGTTTTGTCACCCCTGAAGAAATTTTTGAGAACCCTTCTGATATTGAGGTTATTATCACTAATTTCTCAATTACTACTTTATTTGATTAATCTTGTTCATGTTTATGTTGTGCATTTATTTCCTAGATTGCAAATTTTAGTATGAATTATATTTTGTGGGAATTTTCAAGATTGCAGAAGAATGATTATTTTGGTGGTAAATTTGGGTGGAATTGAGTTGTTTTTTCTTCAAATTTTGGTGCAAATTTTGCACTTTATGAGTTCAATTTAGTAGTAAAATTGAGTTGAGGAAACCAGGAGAAAGTTATTCTTAAATGTTGGATGAAATTATATCAAGAGAGAAACTTGAAATCATACATTTTACAAGTGGTCTTTTATTAGCAAAAGAATTCATATTAGTGGGATTATGTTAGTTTTTTGGGTTCATGGAAGTCTCACCTTGACTAAGCTAAGGTTTCGTTTGATTTGATGGAAAACATTTTCGACTAGAAATGATTCTTTGTGGAAATATTCTAGTGGAAACACAATTGCGAATTGGTTTTCCATTGTTTGGTTCATAACAAGAAAAGCTACTCGGAAAAGAAAAGACAAAATTACACTTGGTAAGTATGGTAACTAGAATTATTGGCAAGCTAGTACTATTGACATGAACTTGTCACTGTAAACAACTAATTAGCACTAACTTGTTCATTGAAAAAAAGTTCATCATTTTTGGCCAAACAAATCCATACCAATGTAGAACTGTTAAGGAGCTGATAGAGAGATGAAATGAAGAGTCCGAGTTACTTAGAAAGAGAAAAAAATCATGGGTAATGAGATAGAGTAATTTATAATGTTACAATTTTATGCTATATGCATATATTTAATTTGTTACTATGATTTTTCCTTATCTTTAACTTGCTTAATTTAATATTTGCCAAATGTTTGTGTACAGCTTTACAAAAGCTTGGTAGGTACAGATGGATGGTGCATCCACTTTGATAAGAGCACGAGGTCATGCTCAATTTATGACGGTGAGGCACCTTTCAGTCATACTTGTATTAAGATTATTTGGTTATGAAGTTTGGCTATTATTCAAACCCTCAAGCTTATTGAAGAAACTTTCAGACCGGCCATATTTCTGCCGTGTGGAGCCAGAAGTCTTCCAGAATCTGTATGGAATTACCGAGAGGAAATTCAACAAGGAAGCTTGCAGGTCTTTTACTGGGTTTTTTTCTTATCTTGTTATTATTGCATTAGTTTAAGTAAATTAACTTGAATTTGCCTTTTCTGGTCAACTTCTGGCAGTTTTTGTAAGGGCACAATCAAATCAATTTATGGTGCAGATTCGGAAGAGTTGGATAGGTTCAACAAGGCTATAAGAAGCTGAAAGTTCTAGTGCCAAAAGCCTGAAATGATGTTGCCATACTATGTGATCACGAGAATACAAGGTTAGTCTTCTCCTTTGAACATGTTTATACACAAGGTATTTTTCATTCAGCACACAAGGTATGAATGTATGATATTCATGGAAAATGGTGTAACGGTGAATTAGAAATTCACTGAGGTCAGAGTCCTTCTAGAATGCATCATAGGGAGTCTGCCTGAATCAGTTAACCTTTTAAGAGTTGTACTGCTCGGTTTAATCCTTTGGCCTTTGATTCTTAAGTCAGGGAACTGTTCTTTCTAGAGAGGTTTTTTTTTTTTTTTTTTTTTTTTTTTTTTTTTTTTTTTTTTTTTTTGGGTGTGTGTGTGTGTGTGTGTGTGTGTATTACAGAACATCTTAAGATAACAGGCTTATTAATTTGAAGTTGAGTCCATTATGTGGGTATTTTCGTTTCACTTGTAAATTAGGCCAGGCTAAAAACCAACTCAAATAAGTTTATGGACAATGTACTGAGTTAAATAAAAATAATATTCTAATATTTCCTCACTTGATTAAAATTCTACAGTATTTATATAGTTTTGAAAGATTTGCAAGAATGGAGGCAATAATCTGCATTTCACTCTATGGTACGGAAGATGAGTAAAGTTAAGGTTGATTATTTGAGAGTGCAGGCTGCTCTCTGATGATATAATTAATGCTGCTTTCTGGCCAGTGATGTGACTGAGCAGCATATCGATTAATTATCTAATGAACCGTGTATATAATTTCCTACAATCATAGACGCTGCTTGTGAAAAGCTGAAGAATCACAGTGGGATAGACAGCATGCTTAAGGATCAATACGTGCTTTAGCATATAGTAATAGGGAGCAGATTATTCTTCCGATGCAATATATATGAGTATCGATTTTGTTTGGGTCAAAATGGCAAGCTGATGATCAATCTTATTCAGTTATGTCTTCAGTGTGTGACTGTAACAGATGCTGCTAGACTGTAATATTTTTGCCTTTATTTTAGGAATATTACAGTCTTGCAAAGACATCAATGGAAGCTAAATTTTCAATTTTCTAAGCATTGGTGATTCTGATTTTGACCTGAACCTTTTTTGTAAATTTTTACTCGTTGAAATTCTGAAGTCATTTAGATAGATCATAGATGTGAAACTTCAAATTTGTTATTGTGATCACAACAAGAATTAAATAACACATATTGCCGATTAGAGTATTAGCTGCATTGTATACATGCCTATAGAGGTCTGACTGCACTGTACCAGATGAGCTATTGCTTGCTTAGATACCTGTAGATTTCGGGCTGAAGATCGGGTAAACCACTTCCTTCGCTGCAAATAAAATGACCAATTCAGTCAAGATTATTTAGCTACACAACAGATAGTACAACGTGGGGCTTGGACATATGACAAATTGACAAAATTGTAGTCAAGCCATGATTTTAACATGTCAATTCTGGACTTAAAGTTAGACTTATCACCTAATTGTTCTTGGATTTCACATTGATGATGATAGATTAGTAGGGATGAGTCTTATGTCTTAACTGTCTAATGAAGTGATGGAAAGCGGTAAACAGCTCGATCTGAGATTGAAAGGTGGTGAAATACTGGTGCATATAGTGATAGTTTTGATTCTTAATTAATGGAAGGTGAAGAAGAGCTTGCAAGGAGGGACACATTGTGAAGGCTGCTCTCATAGTAGTAGATTATATTCATACTGTGATAATACAAGATACTGATATGGCAAGTTTAGTAGAGTTGAATTCGGGTTTAGTTGTATCCATGCAGTCCATGTCGAATTTAGGTTTCTCTTAGTAACTTTGTGCGAGGTAAGGTTCATATTAACTTAGCCTCGGATTCAGGTGGTGTTCGTCATGTGGTCATACCATGCTATATGAGATGGTGAATGTTATATTTGGATTAGGTTTGGTTCTGACCGTTTATCAAGGTTGGGTCATGTTAGGGTCTATCGTTAGCTAGGTTTTCACGAAATTATAATCAGTATCGGACGTATAAATTTCAAACTTAAGCCAATTTATCAAACCGGGTTAATATCCTTAAATCAATATTGAAGGTAAGGTCAGTCACATCCAAGTACTATAAAACAAATAATTGTGCTTTATTCTTTGTGGCATTCCTTATTTCCATGATATCATACTCCACAATTATGGAGTGGAGCCTCTCCCATTCTTTCTCAAAATCACTATCAATCCAAATGTATGGGAATTGGAGAAATATTCAACGACCAATAATGTCTACTGTCAATTTAAGCTTAAAATTCTGAATTTTATCTTAAAATTTTGGGGTCTTCATTAACTGCAATATGCCAATATTGAGAAAACTAGCTTCCTCTTATTTTAAGTTGTCTTAGTCACTTAAATAAGATCATTTTTCCATCCTCATCACCTTCTAGAGTTAGCAAATTATTTGGCCTCACTGTTGGGGGGGGGGGGTGAAGGACGTCTTCCCAATTAATTCTCTGTACCCCACAACGTGTAGATACGTACAAGTTATTATGAAAATCAATCAATATATTTGAATAAGAACCCGTTATATTATCTAGTCTCGAGTACAGTCTTAGATGTGAAATATTATACTACCTCCGTTTAGTATTATTTGCAACGATTTGACATAAAGTAGAGAGGAAAAATATCTAATAGTTGCAAATAATTTATAACGGAGGTAATACATCATACACCATGGGTGTCCTCACAAGAGTCCAAAATCAAATCATATCCCTTAGCTTTATAAAAACTGTCCTTCCATTGCGCCAAGCAAACATCAACACCCCTTTCCATAATTCTTATCAAAGTCACTTTAATTTCCTTCTATGGGTTCCTTAAAACTCCAACCCACAACCCAAACCCGCCAACCCGACCCAGAAAAACCCAACCCAGATGTCGATGATGACTACATTTCCCCAATCGAAGAGGTCCGGTTAACGGTCACCAACACCGATGACCCGATCCTACCGGTATGGACCTTCCGAATGTGGTTCTTGGGCCTCATTTCTTGTGCAGTCCTCTCATTTTTAAACCAGTTCTTTTCTTACAGGACTGAACCCCTGGTTATAACCCAAATCACAGTCCAAGTAGCTGCTCTGCCCATTGGTCAGTTCATGGCCCATGTCCTCCCTCGGACCGAGTTTCGTATCCCCGGGTTTGGGGCCCGAACATTTTCACTTAACCCCGGCCCATTTAATGTCAAGGAACATGTACTTATAACCATATTTGCTAATGCTGGAAGTGCTTCAGCTTATGCTGTCTTAATAGTTGATATTATTAAGGCCTTTTACATTCGGAATATATCATTTTTAGCTGGTTGGATTCTTATTATCACTACTCAGGTATTTATTAAATCATTTTTCCTAAGTTATTCTATATTTTATTTCTAGTACTTGATTAAATAATCTAAGGTTCATGTGTTTCATCAGGTATTAGGATATGGTTGGGCAGGTCTAATGAGGAAGTACGTAGTCGAGCCCCCCCATATGTGGTGGCCTAGCACTCTTGTGCAAGTCTCTCTATTTAGGTAAATACTAACTCCGTTTCATATTATTTACAACGATTAAACATTTTCTACTCACACTTGTTAAATTGTTGCAAATAATTTGAGGCAGCAAATTTACTAGCATATGAATTTTGTATGTTACATGATTAATTACTATCAAATGGGCTTAAGTCGTGCAGATGTACGTGTGGACACTAGCAGAGAACGCGCATAGAACCAACATAGGCCATAACATCTAATTTATTTGATGCAGGGCCTTGCATGAGAAGGATGACAAGGATGAAAGGCGCATATCAAGGTCAAAGTTTTTTATGATCGCGCTATTATGCAGCTTTTTGTGGTATGCAGTTCCTGGTTACCTATTCTCAACACTTACAAGTGTATCATGGGTCTGCTGGGTATTTTCAAAATCAGTCACAGCACAACAACTAGGCTCAGGGATGAAAGGCCTCGGTCTAGGGGCCGTTACACTAGACTGGTCTGCCGTGGCATCCTACTTAGGCAGCCCTCTTATCACCCCATTCTTTGCCATTGCAAATGTGTGTGCAGGCTATGTTATGATAGTATATATCTTCATTCCTATAGCATATTGGGGATTTGATTTGTATGGTGCTCGAAAATTTCCCATTTTCTCTTCACATTTTATTCACAGCTCAAGGCCAACCCTACAACATTTCAAGTATTGTCAATGATAAATTTGAACTAGATCTAACAGAGTATCAGAAACAAGGACAAATTCATATGAGTGTGTTCTTTGCATTTAGTACTTATGCCTTTGGATTCGCTGCTATAGCTGCCACTATTACTCATGTCGCCGTCTTCTATGGAAGGTAATGTCATTTATTTACTTGAACTTCTTTTCCTGTTTAATTGCTCATTAGGCTAAATGTAGTAAAATGTTCATTCAACTAACAGGGAAATACTCGAAAGATATCGTGCATCGTACACAAGCAAGGAAGATATCCATACCAGACTAATGAAGAAGTATAAAGATGTACCATCAAGTTGGTTTTACCTTCTTCTTGGATTAACAGTAGCAATCTCTTTTATTCTCTCAATCTTTTTAAAAGATCAAGTTCAAATTCCTTGGTGGGCTCTCCTCTTTGCCTGTGGCTTGGCATTCATTTTCACCCTTCCTATCAGCATCATAACTGCGACAACAAACATGGTAAGTTAAATTAGTGACAGAAATTTAAAAGAAATGATCATAAAGAACTATGGAGTACTTGAAATTACAAAAAGAACTAGTACCTGCTTATACTACAATGCCTGGATTGTAGTTGGAACGATTTTCAACTTGTTCATTTTTCGTTACAGGAAACTTTGGTGGCAAAGGTACAATTATATTCTTTCAGCAGCCTTGGATGCTGGGGTTGCATTCATGGGAGTTCTGTTGTACTTAGCACTTGTTATGGAGGATAACAACTTGACCTGGTGGGGTACTAACGGCGAGCACTGCAATCTAGCAGCATGTCCAACAGCTAAGGGCATCGCGGTTGATGGATGCCCTATCTACTAGTTCTTGTACAAGTACAGAACTTTCCATAGAACTTGATTGCGTCTTTTTATACCAATATGACAAATGATTGAGTATAAGTTTCGACCCAAGTTTTATTCGAACGAATATTGATAGATAGGTACAGATATCAACGATAATCTTATACAAAATATATCCTAAACCTAGTTATTCAAAGTTGACCAAGAATAATTTCTGAATCATTTTTTTTAGAACCACAAGTTTAGATAGACAATGGACAATAAGATAAGAAGAATGACAATGTAAGCAAAACTTAATCTCACGTCAACTTACTAATTTCCGAACCTTCTAATATATAATAATGTAATGTAAACTAGCTATGCAAAGTTGACCAATAATAGTTTCCAAATTATTTTTTAAACGGACAATAATAATATAAACGAAGTTTGATCTCATATCAACTTGCTATTAGTTTCTGAACCTTCTAAAATCAGATATTACGGAGTAGTGGAATGCAATACTGTATAATATAATATAATATACGAATGAAGTAAGTATTATTTAGCAAGTAGCCTAATATACCACGTGAATCTAATAACATGCTTGCGTATACAGGTCAAGAGAAGATAGCTGTTGAGCCAATATTTTCAATGGTCAATATACACTGATTTTATTTGATAATTAATACATACCACAATTCCATATTTCATGTATACTAATCTAATCCTATCTTATAAGTAGTTGACGAAAAATTTACTTTGTCATTAAAGATGACACTACAACGAAATATTTTTATCATTTTATATATACATTACAAATCTTATAATAATAGTGTTAAGTATTAACATACAATAGATTGTTGATATGATGTCACCTTAATAAAATTGCGGAATTAGATTGTTGTCCTTAGTAATTATTTTTATAAAACTTAACTGCATGCCTCCAATAATTAGTTTGATAGTAAAAGGACGTAGCCCATAACATATCTAAACTTACACTACGTACAATTTATTTTGTATGGTTGAACCAATAGAAGTACAGTGAATGACTTGGAACTTTGGAAGATAAATCAGCCACAAAAATTAATTGGAAAATCGTTGACTAGTACAGGTCAATAGATGTGAATCAAAGAAAGTTGAGGTGTAACGTGTTTGGATTTATTGAGATTGATAGTTATTATTTAAATGAAAAGGATATTATCATAAGGTACTAATATTACACACTTTTAACCTTGCATTATACTCTATACGATTCTTAAGTTTCTCACTTTCTCAGCATATATATTACAGTATTATATATTATTACTTCGTATTATTTAAATTTTTGAAGAATAAGTAATTAAGTACATCCTATAATTCTATCAGCAAAGTTGTGTGGCCATATCATCGCGCCCATTTTTAACTGTAACAAATAAGATTTTTTTTATTGGTGATCCATACACGAGAACATAAAATCACATTTAAAACTTAAAAAAAACTCTCTTCATACTAGCTGTGTACTCGTACGATGTCATGAGTCCATTAAGTATATTGTCCTTATTCTTATTATGAATATGAAAATATCTTAGCTTCTTTTTTGAAAGACCAACCCAACTTATTGTAAATTTGTAATACTATGATCTGTGGGACAGTGGGAGTATCCCATATACAAATTGTAGAGAAACTATTTTTGTCCCTTCATGTATGTGCAAGTTGTAGGCCGGAAATCAATTAAGTTTTAGCTGAATTTTCAAAATTTCTCCTCTTTTTAGTGGCCCCCCAAAACCAAAACTTTAATTTCTTTAATGCATTCATGTTTTTCAATTCATACACTCATTCATCATTATTATAAGCAATCCTTTTTCCCACTTTCATCATTTTCTAATTTGTTGTTTTTTCCGCCTCAATTTACTTGCTCCATAATTATTTTACACAGAGTGTTATTATAAAACCTAGTTTGATTAAGAGAAAATTTTCTTAAAGAAAAAACATAAAAATGAAACAAATAAATTGAGACACGCCAAATAAAAAAATCAGAGTAGTAAATTGAGGCGAGAAATTACATACATTCACTCGAGTGTTTTCTTTTTTTTGTTTTTCCTAAAATATCCTTTTGTTAATACTCCTAGAAAACAAGATATGTTCGTCCACAAATAGATATATATAGACATAGTTCTCTCTTCAACATTTTTTTACCAATTAATAAAAAGTCAACATAACCCACCTATATAATCTTCCCTAACTGTTGGCATTTTATCTTAATATATATAGTAGCATTTAAAATAATAGCTGTCATTTATCATCCATTTCTTCAAAAAAATCCAACTTCACCTTGACACCTTATATAAAAACTATCCCTTACACATTCTAGTGAGATTTACCAATTTCAAAAGTCTTTTTTTCTCCTCTCTAAATTTTGTGCTAGCTACTCCATTTCCTTCCATGGGTTCCTTAGAACTCCAAACCCACCAACCCGACTTAGAGAAACCCAAACCCGACCTGAACGACGACGATATCTCCCCAATCGAGGAGGTACGTCTAACCGTCACGAACACCGATGACCCAAACCTACCCGTATGGACCTTCCGTATGTGGTTCTTGGGCCTAGTTTCTTGTGGGCTACTTTCATTTCTTAACCAATTTTTTTCTTATAGGACTGAACCCCTTATTATAACACAAATCACGGTCCAAGTAGCCACCCTACCCATTGGTCATCTAATGGCTCGAATCCTACCCCAGACCCAGTTTCGTATCCCCGGGTTCGGATCCCGGTCATTTTCACTTAACCCGGGTCCGTTTAACGTGAAAGAACATGTGTTAATAACCATATTTGCTAATGCTGGTAGTGCTTTTGGTAATGGATCAGCTTATGCTGTTGGTATTGTCAATATTATTAAGGCGTTTTATAAACGAAATATCTCATTTTTGGCTGCTTGGATCCTCATTATTACTACTCAGGTATGTATTAATCATCCATTATTATATTTTATGCTCATACAGTTGTCGTGTGTGTCATACATACGTACTTGTATAAATAAATAAAGATTATCATTAATAATTCACGAAACTAACCGTGACAAAATTACTGTCACTTGTTATTATGTTATTAATACTTATTATGCATAAGTTTTAGTAAATCAAAGTTGTCATTATAATTATAATTCTTTCAAATTCATATGATAAGATTTGAGAAATGAACCTTCACATGTGCATGAGCAGTAGTGAACAATTATAAATAGAGGTGAGGTGGCTAGTCGGTGACTCAGTGAGCTCATTATTGTGAGGCTCGCTTTTTTTAATTATTAAATATACAGATATGCTACTTCCGTTTTATATTATTTGCAACGGTTTGACATATAGTAGAAAGAAAAAATGTCTAATCGTTTCAAATAATAGCCTTGTTTGGCGGTTGGCTGTTGGCGGTTGGCTGTTGGCTGGTTCACTTGGCTTGTTTGACCAGCTGGTATGTTTGACTGTTTATAATGGCTTTTGAAATTGGTTGTTAAAGCTGGCTGTTTATAAAAGTGTTTGGTAAATTAATTGTTGGTAGTTGGTTGTTTATTAGATAATTTGTGGGCCAACAAGCCAAAAGCCAACAAAAAAGCTACTCAAAGCAGCTTTTTCATTTTAGCTTAAAAACCAGCTTTTTTACTGGCTAAAAAGCAAATTACTAAACACATTTTTTGGCTGTTTGACCTCATAAAAAAGCTAAAAGCTAACCAAAAAGCCACCAAAAAACTATTTACCAAACATGACCAATATGAAATGGAGGTGGTACAAGTATAATTAACAACCTAAGAACAAAATTAGTTGATGTTTTTAATTTACCTTTTTAATAAACTTTATGCAAGAAGTATGTGAAAGTGAAAAAAAGCTAAGAGTAAAAAATTCTTATAAATCTAGAAAGATTAAGTTGTCCCATTTAATAAAGGTGTGAAAAGGAAAAGCCTGCTAAAAGTGGAAAGTAAGTGACGTGTCTTCAAGAAAACAATACAAAAGAAAATACCTTCTTCGAGGGTTTAGGGAAGGGAAGGGGTGATGATTATGGATTGGAAGGAATCAAATTAAGAAGAAATAAAAGGTTAAATTCATCTTTTTTTTTAATTAATTAGGTTATATGATTAATAGTGTACTTTATTTTAATACATGCCACTTTGTTTTGTCTTAATGTTAAATGTTGTATATATCATGCCTGTTATCGTAATTTTTTTGTCTAAGATATTGCACTACGTACGTATACATCATGCATGTTATTGTAATTATTGAATACGAATTATATATATAAATACGGAGTATTACATAAGAAAAAAAATAAAAAATAAAAAATAAGCGAATATCAAAGAGGAGTTTTAAGTAAAGCAGAGTGACATGACTTTTCTCACTAGTATACTTGATTTAGTTTAGAGTTTAGACTGACTATTGAATAATCTATATTGGTGGTATACAACGTAGAAGTATAAAATTCTCCTAAATTAAGTCCGAATTCCAAAAATTATGAATTATACACCCATATAATACAAGTTAATTTTCAATCAGTTGTACAATTATGGATTATACACTCATATAATCATACTTATGAGCTTTTCAATTAGTGAATTATTGGTTATAATTAAAAGAAAGTGACGTGGTCCATCTTGGTGATTGTTTTTAAAGAGCCACATAGGATCTAATTTTCTTAGTGTGCCATGTAGGATTATAAATTTTAGTAGTAACCAATTAAATAGGAGATTATTAAAATCTTTTGTAATTAAATAATTCAAATGCCACATAAGCAAAATTGGCGAATAAGATTTTCCAATTTAAATTAATTAAATATAAAATATTATCTTTTGATATTAGGAATTTTATCTAAATATATAACAAATTTTAGCACATAAATATATGTATAAAATTTTTTTTTAAAAAAATTCAAACAAATCGTGCATCGCACGGGTTGCATCTAGTTTATTTATATATACAAGTATATAATTTTTTTTTAAAAAAAATACTTTATTGTACTGTACGCTCAAATGTATATTGGAAAATAATAGGATAAAATTATTAGTAACTTAAAATTATTATGCCTAATTAATCAATTATATTCCTCTTCAGGTATTGGGTTACGGTTGGGCAGGTTTAATGAGGAAGTACGTAGTGGAGCCTGCTCATATGTGGTGGCCAAACACTCTTGTCCAAGTCTCTCTTTTCAGGCAAGTGGTTTAATTATCGTTTATTTATACTAATATATTAGAAAGTGTTTGTTTCCTTATTACTATTATTAATGGCTAATTGAAGACATTAAATACAATTGTATTGTGTGAATTAGAAGGAATAGGAAACTTGTATAAAAAGGAGGTGAGAAATAGTAAGCCAACTTGATAAGAAGGTGGTTGATTAATTTCTTTCCTCCTATTTTATACTACTCTCATCATTATCTTGGTGAGAAATGGCTCACAAAGCATTTATTAAAATAAAGTAATTACTACTATATAGAATTAATTTTTTAATTACCCCATAACTTAATGTTGGAAAAGAAGAGTAAAAAGATAAGTCCATATACAAAAATGTCTTTGTTTAGTTTAATGGACAATCTCATATTGAGTAAATTTTCTAACCTAGGTGATGGCGACCTTGACATAAATGTATATAGATTCATTAAACTCTTCTTAAAAGTAGTACTATTCCGAAGAAACCACAACATCAGAAAATTCAAAATATTGCATCAAAGTAACATCAATACTCAAGACTTCATTTATGGAGATTTTAGAGGGAAAATGCACTAAAAAGGGCATTCATGAGATGGTGAGACCATTACCCCAATAATTGATGTTCCTAAAATTAGTACCATCCATTCTATTTAAAATAGAAATAAAGACGTATGAGAGTTGCAATGGTTACTATTTTATATAAAGTACAGATTTTACACCATATAAAAATTAAAATATTGGTTGCCTCATCGCTTTCCATCTATATAAAAATGGCCAGGCATCAACGATTACGACCTCTTGCGATAGGCAACAAAATAGAGACTAGTTTTATACTATACCGTATTATGCCATGTTCGCTTCAACTGATATCTAAAATAAAGTAAATTGTAAAGTGATTTAAACTTACTACAACATACGAAGTAATTACATATTGACACATTTTTCCTCAAAGTTACGCGTTAAAACAGAGAAATATCATATCAAGATTGCAATAATCCCCCTTGAAAAGTGTGGAGAAAATCACATTGAAATGAGGTATAAAATAGAGAAGAGGACATTCAATCAATTTTAGGGGGTAAAACAAAGACAAAATATACTAGCATGCGAAGGACTGCAGCAGCAGAAGACGGTGGGAAAAGATGATAATAGTAACAAATTAGCATCTTGTACACTGGTTACTAAAATTGGCTGTTACTGCTTGATCGCTTCTAGCAATTCTAGGCCTTGGTCCATGAGATATCACTCTCATATTTTGTCCACTTTCATGGCTTCATGAGAAGCTTATCAAATCCAAAACGTAATTCAAATGATCTACAATCTACTTAAAAATTATGTACACAATTAAATGTTAAAAACTAACCCGACTTAAAACAAAGTGACCCATTCCACAAAATAACTTGCAACCGTTAGGTTGGACTGAAACTCATATTCTGGTAATTGAGGTCGGTTTAACCGACAAACGGAAGTTATCTCTTTATTTGATTAGATACTTGGAAAGATACTCCTCGGATTATCCCTATCAGCATAACATGATAAGAAATAATATATCAAGTTGTGAAAATGCAAATTAATGAATTGACATCAGTCTAAAATGGCCGCATGCCAAACTAATGACAATTTACACACAAAGTTGTAGTAAAAGCAACATGTTTATATTGTATAGACATTTATGGTATAGTGCATAGTTCTTCCAAAAATTGTTATTGATAGAAGTGGACAATGCACTAGATTCATGTCAAGGTCTAGTTTGACGGCTATGACCCAAAGCCACTTACCAAATCGTCCAAATATTCAAAAACTGAAGAAAAAACTTTAAAATGTTTTCACATGGACATGTGAGCAACTGTTTACTGAATTACTGCTAATATGTAAGCATAAACACTAACCTTGCGAAGATTATGCATGTATGGGTCAGGAGGAAGTATGAATGAATATCCATGATTCCGAGACCATTTAATCAAGAAAGCTTCTGTATTATACCCAATCAACTCTGATATAAAGTATGTATCAGTGTCGTGATCCCGGTTCCAAATATATGTAATGGAAGGTTGCTTTGTGATGCACCCGCTGCGAAAGAAACGAAGCAATCTACACCATATTGCAGTACCATAAGCGCTTGAACAGATAATCACATAATCATAAGCAGCAAATCTGCATCCAAATAAGTGAACAACGCGTTTAGTTCATCTTTCTTTTATTATGAAAATAAAATTGTTAGCAATCTAAGTACCATATTAATCCAAACAACCAACTCTACTTCTGAAACAACAAAATATTTCAACTGCAGCTGATCAATCAGCAAAGTAAGTTTGAACAAAATATAAGGATGTCTATCCTAACATAAGTACTGGTTTTTCAATTTTATGCAGGGCCTTGCATGAAAAGGATGACAAAGATGAAAGACGAACATCAAGGGCAAAGTTCTTCCTGATTGCACTAACATGCAGCTTTGTGTGGTACGCAGTCCCAGGTTACTTGTTCTCAACTCTCACAAGCATATCATGGGTCTGCTGGGTATTCTCCAGATCTGTTACTGCCCAACAGCTAGGCTCAGGCATGAAAGGCCTTGGTCTTGGAGCCATAACACTAGACTGGTCTGCTGTAGCCTCCTTTTTACTTAGCCCCCTCATAACCCCATTCTTCGCCATTGCAAATGTGTGCGTAGGTTATGTTCTGATAATATATATCTTCATGCCCATTGCATACTGGGGACTGGACTTGTATAGTGCTCGCAAGTTTCCCATTTTCTCCTCACATTTATTCTCAGCTGATGGTCAAATATATAATATATCAGCAATAGTCAATGACCAATTTGAGTTAGATCAGACACAATATGCAAAGCAAGGACAGATCCACATGAGCACATTTTTTGCTCTAACTTATGGCTTTGGCTTCGCAACCATAGCTGCCACTCTTACTCATGTGGGTTTCTTTCACGGAAGGTAATATTATTACTCAACTCTTGTGGATTCTTTTTTTTTTTTTTACTAGATTTGTTCTTATAATTAAATCTCTCCTTAAACCAAGCATGCTGCATTAAGACTGGTAATTCAGTGTGGGTTCAACTTTGTGATTATTAGTGAAATCAGGCAATAATAATTTAATTAAACAGATTTGTTCAAATAATGTAAGCTCTCCTTCTAAGACAAAAAAAGACATGCTGCATTAAGACATCGTAAAATTTTAAACAGATTTGTTCTGAATTTCTGATAATTAAATCTCTCCAAATAACACAAACAAGATATGCTGCATCAAGACTGAAAGTTTAGTGTGGGTCAACTTTGTGATAGTGGAATTAAGCAATCATAATTTTTGTCAATAAAAAGCCAGTTATTAAAGTCCTGCTCATTGGGCTTATGGAACTGGCTTTGAGTCTTGTTCATTGGGTTTATTAACTCCAGGCTTATAATTATTGTCACTTCTAGCTAGAATTTTGCAGAGTAATAAGATTAAACATTGGGACTTTGGGATAAAAGAATCTTACAAGAACATTTAGCATATAAAAGGAGAAAGTTTGAATTTGGCCCTTATACTCAAACAAATAAGAATAATTTTTGAAATGTATTTCCCCCAGTATAAGAATGACAACAGTCATGGTATGTCTAATCTGACTTGTGGTAAATTGTTCAACAAACAGGGAGATCTATGAAAGGTACCAAGCATCATACAAAAGCAAGGAGGATATTCATACGAAACTAATGAAAAACTATAAAGACATACCAGCATGGTGGTTCTACGCTCTTCTTGGGTTGACAATAACAATTTCTTTTCTGCTCTCTATCTTCTTGAAAGAACAAGTTCAGATTCCTTGGTGGGCTCTCCTCTTTGCTTGTGGCATTGCATTCATATTCACTCTCCCCATCAGCATCATAACTGCCACAACAAACGTGGTAAGTGGTAGCATACTCCAGCATCTCAATAATTCTCTGCAATTAAAAAGTATTTACTCCATATCTCTCTTTAATTTTAAGCATAATAATTCACTGATTATTTCCTGAATGCCAACATCAATACTGAGTTGTGTCTCAATTTCATGTCATTCATCGTAACTTCACAAGACTTTGCAATTCACTAAACCAAGCTTGTAAGTTACCAAACCCAAAAGAAAGATATATTTTTGTCCTAAACAGTAACCGTGCGTTTGAGGATTTTACAATGACCCAGCTTTTTGGACATATAATCTTATAAGAAAACATAAGGTCAAAGTGATTCACTGATGTATAAGTTCTGAAACTCTTCTTTCATGAGGAACCACCTTCGTTGGACTTAAAAACAGAGAAAATTGCATAAGAAAACAATTTAGTAACAAACTACATGGAAATGTAAAAATAACAAAACACAATCCAGTAGCCAGTTAGCTCGGGAAGTTGGAAAGGTAGGCTTCTTTCATAGTTTCATATTCCTTTTGCCTCTAAATTAATATCACGCTAACTTTTCATGATCTCCAAGGCCAAACTTTGACCATTATTGTTGGTAATTCTATACTACTATTAGTAAACTTTATTATAACATATCAGAATATACCTAACTAGATTACTTCCATATCATTATAGCATATATTGCATAAAAAACCCAAGTCAAAGTCTAAGCTCAGACCTTAGAAATTCAAGAGTGTGCAGTGAAATAGAAGCAACCTCTTCCTATGAGAATATCAAATTTATCCACACAACCACCTATATAACCCGTCTTTTTTCATGCTATCTGCAGACACCAGGACTGAACATAATAACAGAGTATGTTATGGGCCTCATATTACCAGGAAAACCAATTGCCAACGTATGCTTCAAGGTTTATGGTTATATGAGCATGTCGCAAGCTGTTTCTTTCCTCAGTGATTTCAAGCTAGGCCACTACATGAAGATCCCACCAAGATCAATGTTTTTGGTTCAGGTATACTTCTCACCAAGTTAGTAACATGGACTCTACCAGCCATATCCCACACTTAAGTCAGACTGCAGCTACTCAAGCATTTTCAGAATCATTTACAATTAATTCCTGCTTTATTTATCGATAACATCATATCTTACTACAGTAAACCTCTTTATATGACCTGCCAGTTCATAGGAACCATTTTTGCTGGTACCATCAACATTTCAGTAGCGTGGTGGTTGCTCAACTCAATTCATAATATATGCGAGGACAGTCTGCTTCCAGCTGATAGCCCTTGGACTTGTCCTGGTGACCGTGTATTTTTTGATGCTTCTGTCATATGGGGCTTGGTTGGTCCTAGGAGAATTTTTGGAGATCTTGGAACTTACAAAGCTATGAACTGGTTCTTTGTAGGAGGGGCAATAGGACCAATAATAGTTTGGCTCTTTCACAAGGCATTCCCTGAAAAGTCATGGATACCACTAATTAACCTGCCTGTCCTTCTTGGGGCTACAGCCTATATGCCACCAGCAACAACTGTAAACTATAATGCCTGGATCATAGTTGGAACAATTTTCAACTTCTTTGTCTTCCGTTACAGAAAGCATTGGTGGCAGAGATACAATTACATTCTTTCAGCAGCTTTGGATGCTGGGGTTGCCTTCATGGGAGTTCTGTTATATTTCTCACTAGGAGTGGAAAATAAAAGCTTGAACTGGTGGGGTACAAATAGTGAGCACTGCAGTTTGGCAACATGTCCAACAGCTAAAGGCATAGTGGTTGATGGATGCCCTATTTACTAGTTCTTTTACATCTATGATAGATTTGTTTGACAGGATTTAGTGTAATAGCTTGAGATTGTGAATACTTATGACCAAAAAAGGGGAAAGAACCCAAGTGCATTATTAACATTCACACCTCAATTTTAGATGTTAGCAACAGAGCAATATTACTTCAGTAAAGCATAGAGCCATGGAGAAATTTGATACCATGTGTAATCTAATTTGAATGTCTCCCTGAGCATCTTAAACAGATTTCTAAATTCTGGTGAAAGATATTTGAGAAAGTTATATGGAAATTTCCATTTGTTTAGGAAGCACAGATTGTAAAATCCAAAATAGAAGATTAGAAATTAGGTAGAACGTAAAAGAGGTATAAAAATAACTCCAATGGCAGTCAAACTGCCAAAGGCCATTAATAAATTTATTATTTTGAGTAAATGCAAGTTGCCAACAAGTAAAAGAATCAAGGGGGGCAACCATTTCAAAGCCTATAATAGCAAAAAAGAATGTTCATTGTATAAAGATTCACGACTCATAAATAAGAAGTGACATGACTTGACTTTAGCCATTTTCTTAACTCCCGAGAACTCAAATTAACGAGGGAGAATTTTGGGACTATAATAGCAAGATATTACTATTTTTAAAAAGGTGGCAGCTTCCTTAGACACCATGAAACAGTATTTGCGACAAATGTAACTATTAATTCCAGACAGAATAATGACAACATTTATACGTAAATGATGTAAGTAATACGATGTACTTACAATCAACTTGATAAATTGACCGAGAGCCACTGGTTATATTCATCCATCCTTATGATGAAGGAGCTAGAACTAGGCGAACCTCCACCGCCATAGGCCTACAGGATAAAGGAGCAAAAATGCTAATGAGAAATGACAGTGCTTCTTCTCAAGCATCCAAAGAGAATGAGAAACTCAAATTAGGAAAGGGAAAGTGACTAGAACACAATGATTAAAGTGACACCTTCGCAATCTCTGAGGTGTCTGTATTTCCATCCATACTTCTCAGACACATTTTCAAGTTCTTACGTTGCATAAAGACAACAGCTCCTACAGGCCTGGGCAAAAAGAAATATCAGAAGATTACAATGAATAAGAGTAATTCCTGGGTGCAGAACAATAACAATATGATCAAGAAATTTCCAGTGCAGCTAACAATTAAAAGCAATATCGTTTTTCTGTATAAGAATCAAGAGCAAAAAAAACATGTCTTAATATAATTAAAAGCAGAGGAGTATTCTAATCAGAACAGTCAATTCTTATCCCCAAAATTCTATTGTAAATTTTGATTAATGTAATTTTTTTATTTTTTTTTTAAATTTTAAGTATAATACAAACTATATAGTAACGAGAAAAACAATTTTGATGAAGGCCTACTGGTCAAGCCGTGTCGTACCCCTTTCAAAACTTGGCCTGTGCATAGCATTATAGCATACAACTTTGCCTCTCATTGGCTCATGCCCTTGCTATAATGTAAACATCTACCATAGGTCGCCAGTTTTACAAGTTTTGGATAAGTTACCTTAAGCCAGCTGCAGCACTCCTTAAACTAAGTTCTTTCCCAATTTCATCACTGAGGTCTGGATTGCTATCAGCTCTTACTCCCTGATAAATAAACATAAATAATAAATAATGTAATTTATAAGGAGACATAAGTCCCCCCCCCCCCCAAAAAAAAAAAAAGAAAAAAAAAAAAGAGGGGGGGGGGTATGGTTTGGACTTAAAACAATGATTATATCTTATTGATGAAATCATTGAAGAAATTTTACAATTTTTATTTTTTTGGAATCAGCAGAGGGAATCAGGTAGCAAGAGGGGGAAAAAAAAAAACTGTCAGATAATACAGATTTAAAAGCATGCAATCTGTCAAAAACTTACCAGGCACTCCCCATAGAATCCTCGACCTAGCCGAAGTTCAAAAGATTTTTCTAGAAACACTTTTGCAGCATCCTTTTGAGCTGAAATTTCAGAGTTTCCCTTGGTTAGCAGCGCCTTTACATTCATCTCCAATAGCTGCATTCAGGTGGTAATTAACGAATTATTCAAAGAAGGGAAACACACACACACACACATGATCAAATTCATATAATGTCATCAAGCCCAATAATGCCACTCATTACTACATTCACTGATTAAGGTATTCGATGCTGTTTTGGAAGCCTAACAAATAACAAGCTTGATGTAAATGCAAGAACTGACACAAAAGATACCTTCAGGCAAAGAATGACTTTATTAATATTTACGAGGAAAAGAAGTGCATTTAAGTGTATATTAGGAAGATCACCAAAGATTGACCCCGATAAAAATGCCACAGATATGATTTTATCAGGCTATTCCAAAAGGCCCTGCTAATAGCATATAAGAAGTATATTCAAATGAAATCTATCATTATTATCCAAACAAGCAAAACCCAGAGAATGGCCAAGCACACCCAATTACAAAGAGACTTTTTCCCCTTATTCTTTCCAAGTTGCACATAGCTAATCTGCAACTGGCACATAGCAGAACATACTAGGCTGGTTTATTCCAACGAACCCAAGCTATCAAAACAAATCTCCCCATAAGCATAGGAGGTCACTGAAGTATAGGCAGGTACTTTATGCAAAGACAAAATCCAGACCATCTCACTAGAGCTTATGCCACCAAACAAACTCTCTTACTTCCATAACATGAAAATGCACATGCATTTCTTGTCAAGAAATCAATAATTTTACATAGGGTGTCCTTCCAAGTAGCAATTTGAATAACTATTGAAGGAGGAGCAATATGCTAGGTCCATATAGTGCTAATAAATATGACTATAATGCGTTGCTCCAACCAGTTTTGACAGAAGCAACTACACCATAAAGACTACATTGCTAGACAGGCGCAACTAATTCAGCTTTTTTCTCAAAGAAAATTTCATAAAAAAGAAAACAAGAAACCCCATGATCAAAGATTATACTTCAACTTTCAAATCCAGATTTTTCCCTACTCACCTGGTCATACATGTGAGGATTGGTGATGCAGTTCAGCTTTGACCTCCATTCTGAAATCCCAATATTGAAAGCCCGAACGTCAGGCAATCTCCATTGGCGTAAATCTCCATCTTCAAGATAGTTCAAGAGTAACTCCATACGACATTGATCATTTGAGTTTAGCAGACCATTAACCAGACCCTGCAAAAGGCAAAGTAAATGATGCTTTCTAATAGAATCAATAATGCATATACGCATAAAGAATATTACAGGGAAACATGTCTATGGACTAACATTTCCATCAGGTGATTTTGTGTATTCAAGCTGGCCAGAAAAATATTCAAAAACAGCCCTTGCACTACTCCTCCCAACATCAACATGAAATGTGAGTTTTCCAGAACAATCCTCAACAGAAGGGATCTTTGGAAGTGTTGAGTTTCTATGATCAAAGCATATCACTCTGGTATCAAAAGTCAGAAAAAACAAAAGGTCAACCTCCCAATTTAAGAAGCCTATCTATACATAATAGAGCAGTCCAACGACGAAGGATTATTTATGGCTTACTTGCATGCTGTCCTCCGCCAAAGCTCAACAGCAAATCCTCTTGGACCAATGAAGTCAAGGAAATAGCATGTCTTGAGTCCTTCATAACACAAATCTTCCACCCTGACATCAGGATTCATCATACACAAAGTTGGTGTAAGAGTAGTAAGACAGTACTTTAGCAAATCATTTGTTAATATTTATAAAGATCTCGGATCTCATAAAAGCCTAATCCCAAAAAAAATTGGGGGGTGGGGGAAGGAAACATTATCAGTTTTTCTTCGGTTACTTCACTGTTTTGTAGGTGGAAAGTGAATGGTGGTAATGGAAATAAATTTAAATGTAATTTAGCAGGTATCATCCTAATGTAAATGGAAATTAGTATTTAGTAATAGAGCTGTCAATTCGGGTAAACGGGTCGGATTTGGGTCAGGTAAGAGTGGGTCGGGTCAACTCGAGTCGGGTCAATTCGGATTAATTCCATAACTTATGCGGGTCGGGTTTGGGTTGGGTCATGCTTGAGTCGGGTCACGTCAGGTCATACTTCTTATCAGGTTTGGGTCGGGTTTAGGTCGGGTTACATTCGGGTCGGGTGAACAATAGGTTGGGTTTAATTTGGGTTTACACGGGTTAAAACGGGTTAGGGTAATTCTCGGGTTCGAGTCGGGTTCGGTTCAAGTCAATAATTTGCGAGTTAGAATCAGATCGGGTCATTCTCGGGTTTGAGTCGGGTTCAGTTAAAGTCAATAATTTGTGAATTATAATCAGGTCGGGTCATTTTCAAGTCGGGTCATTCTCGGGTTCAAGTCGGGTTCGGTTCAAGTCAATAATTTGCGAGTTATAACCAGGTTGGGCCGTTTCCAAGTCAGGTCATTCTTGGATTCAAGTCGGGTTACAATCAGGTCGGGTCATTTCCAAGTCAGGTCATATTCGGGTTCAACTAACTATAAATAGATAATTATGATTTTAGCTATAAAGCTAATTATTTCCTTTGACTATAATATGTATGACAATATACTAGGGAACTATAATCTATAATTTAGGAAGATAATTATCTCCTTTGGCCAATAGAACAAATATATACTATATTTAACTCTTAAATTTGAGGATGATGCTCCTTTCTTTTGCTGGACCGACTTGGTCTCCTTAGACAAAATGCTTTGATCAACAATAATAAGGTGGTCTAAATTGCATTTAAGGTGATTTGAAATCGGGTCAGGAACAATTTGGGTTGAATTTAGGTCGGGTCAATAACAAGTCGTGTTAATTTCGAGTCAGGTTAGTAACAAATCAGGTTGAATTTTTGTGTCGGGTAAGTAATAGGTATATTAAAATTCGGGTAAGGTCAATAACAAGTCGAGTTGAATATAGGTCAGGTCAATAACAAGTCAAGTTGATTTCGGGTCGGGTGTGTAAAAGGTTAGGTTAAATTCGGGTCGGGTTAGGAATGGGTCGGGCTGATTTCAGGTCAGGTTAGTAACAAGTCGGGTTAAATTCGGGTTTTGATGGGTTAAAACGGGTTAGGGTCAATTTCGGTTCAACTCGGGTTCGGTGCAAGTTAATAAAATTGGCCGTTGTAAATCGGTAAATCGGTGCAAGTTGTAAGACGGTAAATTGGTCGTTTAACAGCAAATTGGAGGGTTCCACACACTCAATTGGACTCCCGTCGGATATTAAGGACAATGGTAAACATTTTGGCAATTTTTATTTCCGAACAAAAAAAGAGTCAAAAAATTCCAAAATTGAAGGCTAATAACCACGTTTTTTGAGAAATTTTGGAGGTTTCGAGGCCCGGTGTCGAAAAGTCTTGAAATTCTATGAGATACATCTCGGGGTCATATAATGTCGTTTGGAACCATATATGATCATTATTTGTTGTCATAAATGTTCATGGTAGACTTGAATTAATGAAATTGGTGCAAGTTGTAAACCGGTAAATTGGTTGTTTGACGGCAAAATGGATGGTTCCACACACCCAATTGGACCCTCGAAATGTATTAGGGACAATGATAAACATTTCGACAATTTTTATTTCCAGGCGAAAAAGATCAAAATATTTCAAAATTGAAGGCTAGGCTAATCCACGTTTTTTGAAAAATTTTGGAGGTTTCGGGGACCAGTGAGGAAAACTCTTGATATTTTAACGGACATCTCAGGGTCATATAATGTCGTTTGGAACCATATAAGATCATTATAAGTTGTCATAATTGTACGTACTATGCTTGAGTTTATGAAATTCGTGCAAGTTGTAAACCAGTAAACTGGTCGTTTAAAGGCAAATTGGATGGTTCCACCAACCCAATTGGACTCCCGGAAGATATTAGGAACCATGGTAAACATTTCGGCAATTTTTATTTCCGGACGAAAATAAGTCAAAAAATTACAAAATTAAAGACTATCTACACTTTTTGAGAAATTTTAGAAGTTTTAGGGTGCAGTGTCAAAAAGTCTTGAAATTCTAGGGGATACATCTCGGGGTCATAATGTCGTTTAGAACATATATGATCATTATCTGTTATCACAAATGTTTGTGGTAAGCTTGAGTTAATGAAATCGGTGCAAGTTGTATACCAGGAAATTGGTCGTTTAAAGGTAAATTGGATAGTTCAACCCACCCAATGAGACTCCCGGACAGTATTAGGGATCATGGTAAACATTTCGACAATTTTTATTTACGGGAGAAAAAAAGTTAAAAATATCCACGCTTTTCGAGAAATTTTGGAGGATTCGGGGACCGGTGTCGAAAAGTCTTAAAATTCTAGGGGATACATCTCGGGGTCATATAATGTCGTTTGGAGCCATTTATGATCATAATATGTTGTAATAAATGTTCGTGGTAGGCTTGATTTAATAAAATCGATGCAAGTTGTAAACCGGTAAATTGGTCGTTTAAAGGCAAATTGGATAGTTCAACCCAACTAATTGAACTCCCAGAGGTTATTAGGGACCATGGTAAAAACTTCGGCAATTTTTATTTCCGAGAAAAAAAAAAAGTCAAAAAATTCCAAAATTGAAAGCTTATATCCACGCTTTTTGAGAAATTTTGGAAGTTTCGGAGCCCGGTGTCGAAAAGTCTTGATATTTTTGGGAATACATATGGGGTCATATAATGCCATTTGGAACCATATATAATCATTATATGTTGTCATAAATGTTCGTGGTAGGCTTTAGTTAATGAAATCGTTGCAAGTTGTAAACCGGTAAATTAGCCGTTTAAAAGCAAATTGGATGGTTCCACCCACCCAATTGGACTCCCGGAGAACAATAGGGACCATGGTAAACATTTTGGCAATTTTTGTTTTCTGACGAAAAAAGTCAAAAAAAATCCAAAATTGAAGGCTAAGATCCACGTTTTTGAGAAATTTTGCAAGTTTTGAGGTTCGGTGTCGAAAAGCCTTTAAATTTTAGGGGGATACATTTCGGGGACATATTATGCCGTTTGGAACCATTTATGTTCATTATATGTTGTCATAAATGTTCGCGGTAGGCTTGATTTAATGAAATCGGTGCAAGTTGTAAACCGGTAAATTAGCCGTTTAAAGGCAAATTGGATAGTTCAACCCACCCAATTGAACTCCCGGGGGGTATTAGGAACCATGGTAAAAAATTTCGATAGTTTTTATTTGCGGGCGAAAAAAGTCAAAAAATTCAAAAATTGAAGGCTCAACGCTTTTTGAGAAATTTTAGAGGTTTCGGATCAAGGTGTCGAAAGGCCTTGTGATTTTAGGGAATATATCTCGGGGTCATATAATGACGTTTGGAACCACATATAATCATTATATGTTGTCATAAATGTTCGTGGTAGACTTGAGTTTATGAAATCGGTGCAAGTTGTATACCGGCAAATTGGCCGTTTAAAGGCAAATTGAATGCTTCCATCCACCGAATTGGACTCCTGGAGGGTATTAGGGAGTGTGATAAACAATTTGGCAATTTTTATTTCCGGGCAAAAAAAGTTGAAAAATTCCAAAATTGAAGGCTTAATATCCACACTTTTTGAGAAATTTTGGAGGTTTCGGGGCCCGATGTCGAAAAGTCTTGAAATTCTAGGGTATATATTTCGGGGTTCATATAATGCCGTTTGGAATAATATATGACCATTATTTGTTGTCATAAATGTTCGTGGTAGGCTTGAGAAAATGAAATCGGTGTAAGTTGTAAACAGATAAATTGGTCGTTTAAAGGCAAATAAGATGGTTCCACCCACCTAATAGGATTTTCGGAGGGTATTAGGGTCCATGTTAAAACATTTCGTCAATTTTTATTATCAGGCCAAAAAAAGTCGAAAATTTCCAAAATTGAAGTCTAATATCCACGCTTTTTGAGAAATTTTGGAGGTTTCGTAGTTCGTTGACGAAAAGACTCGAGATTTTAGGGGATACATCTCGGGGTCATATAATGTCGTTTAGAACCATATATAATCATTATATGTTGTCATAAATGTTACTGGTAGGCTTGAATTAATAAAATCGGTGCAAGTTGTAAATCGGTTAAATGGCCGTTTAAAGGCAAATTGGTTGGTTCAACCTACCCAATTGGAAACCCGGAGGGTATTAGAGAGCATGGTAAACATTTCGGCAATTTTTATTTTAGGGCGAAAAAAAGTCAAAAAATTCAAAAATTGAAGGCTAATATCCACGCTTTTTTAGAAATTTTGGAGTATTCGAAGCCCGGTGTCTAAAAGTTTAGAAATTCTAGGGAATACATCTCTTGGTCATATAATGTCATTTGGACCCATATATGATAATTATTTGTTGTGATAAATGTTCGTGGTAGGCTTGAGTTAATGAAATCGGTGCAAGTTATAAACCGGTAAATTGGTCGTTTAAAGAAAAATTAGATAGTTCCACCCACCCAATTTCCCGGGGGGTATTAGGGACCACTATAAACATTTCGGCAATTTTAAATTCCAAAATTGACAGCTAATACCCATGCTTTTTTAGAAATTTCGAAGGTTTCGGGTCCCGGTGTCGAAAAGATATGTGATATTAGAGATACATCTCGGTGTCATATAATGCCGTTTGGAACCATAAATGATCATTATATGTTGTCATAAATGTTCGTGGTAGGCTTTAGTAAATGAAATCGATGCAATTTGTAAACCGGTAAATTGGCCGTTTAAAGGCAAATTGGATGATTCCACCCACCCAATTGGACTCCCGGAGGGTATTAGGAACCATGGTAAACATTTCGGCAAATTTTATTTCCGGGCGAATAAAAGTCAAAAAATTCCAAAATTAAAGTGAAAAAAAATTCCAAAATTGAAGGCTAATATCCACGCCTTTTTACAAATTTTTGAAGTTTCGGGACACGATGTTCAAAAGGCTTGAGATTTTAGGGGATACATCTCGAGGTCATATAATATCGTTTGGAACCATATATTATCATTATATGTTGTCATAAATGTTCGTGGTAAGTTTAAATTAATTAAAACGGTGCAAGTTGTAATTTGGTAAATTGGCAGTCTAAAGGCAAATTGGATGGTATCACCCACCCAATTGGACTCACAGAGGGTATAAGGGAACATGATAGACATTTCAGCAATTTTTATTACCGGGCGAAAAAAAGTTGAAATTTCCAAAATTGAAGGCTAATATCTACACTTTGAGAAATTTTGGAGGTTTTAGGGCTCGGTGTCGAAAAGTCTTGAAATTCTGGGGGATATACCTCGGGGTCATATAATTCCGTTTGGAACCATATATGATCATTATTAGTTGTCATAAATATTCGTGGTAGGCTTGAGTTAATTGAATCGGTGCAAGTTGTAAACCGGTAATTTGTTCGTTTAAAGGCAAATTGGATGGTTCCACCCAGTTAATTAGACTCCCGGAGGGTATTAGAGATCATGGTAAACATTTTGGAAATTTTAATTTTCGGGCGAAAAAAACTTAAAAAAAAATTCCAAAATTGAAGGCTAATATCCACGCTTTTTGAGAAATTTTGGAGGTTTGGAGCCCGGTGTCGAAAAGCCTTTAGATTATAGGGGATACATCTCGGGGTCTTACAATGCCGTTTGGAACCATATATGATCATTATATGTTGTCATAAATGTTTGTGGTAGACTTGAGTTAATGAAAACGGGGCAAGTTGTAAACCGGTAAATTGGCCGTTTAAACGCAAATTAGATGGTTCCACCCACCCAATTGGACTCCCAAAGGGTATTAAAGACCATAGTAAATATTTCGGCAATTTTTATTTCCGGGCCAAAAAAGACAAAAAATTCATAAATTGAAGGCTATATCCACATTTTTTGAGAATTTTTGGAGTTTTCGAGGCCCGGTATCGAAAAGTCTTGAAATTCTAGGGAATACATCTCGGGGTCTTACTATGTCGTTTGAAACCATATATGATCATAATTTATTGTAATAAATGTTCGTGGTAGGCTTGTATTAATGAAATCGGTACAAGTTGTAAATCGGTAAATTGGTCGTTTAAAGGCAAATTGGATGGTTTTACCCACCCAATTGGATTTCCGAAGGGTATTAGGGACCATGGTAAACATTCTAGCAATTTTATATCCGGACGAAAAAAAGTCTAAAAATTCCAAAATTGAAGGCTAATATCCATGCTTTTTGAGAAATTTCGATTGTTTCAGGGCCCGGTGTCGAAAAGAATTAAGATTTTATGGAATATATTTCATGGTCGTATAATGCACGTTTGGAACCATCTATGATCACTATATGTTGTCATAAATGTTCGTGATAGGCTTGAGTTAATGAAATTGGCGCAAGTTGTAAACCAGAAAATTGGTCGTTTAAAGGCAAATTGGATGGTTCCACCTACCCAATTGGACTCCCGGAAAGTATTAGGGATCATGGTAAACATTTCGGCAATTTTTATTTGCGGGTGATAAAAAGTCAATAAATTCCAAAATTGATGACTAATATCCACGTTTTTTGAGAAATTTTGGAGGTTTTGGGTAGCACTGTCAATTCGGGTAAACGGGTCGGGTTTGGGCCGGTAAGAGATGGTCGGGTCAACTTGGGTCGGGTCAATTCGGATTAATTCCATAACCTATGCGGGTCGTGTTTCGGTTGGGTCATGCTTTAGTCGGATCTCATCGAGTCATACTTCTTATCGGGTTTGGGTCGGGTTAATAACAGGTTGTGTTACATTCGGGTTGGGTGAGCAATAGGTCGAGTTTAATTCGGGTTTTCACGGGTTAAAACGAGTTAAAGTAATTCTCAGGTTCGAGTCGGGTTCGATTCAAGTCAATAATTTGCGAGTTATAATCAGGTCGGGTCATTCTCGGGTTTGAGTCGGGTTCGGTTCAAGTCGATAATTTGCGGGTTATAATCATGTCGGGTCATTTTCAAGTTGAGTCATTCTCGAGTTCAAGTCGGGTTCGATTCAAGTCAATAATTTGCGGGTTATAATCAGATTGGGTCATATTTAATTCAGGTCATTTTCGGATTCGAGTCGGGTTATGTTCAAGTCAATTAATTGCAGGTTACAATCAGGTCGAGTCATTTCCAAGTGGGGTCATATTCGGGTTTAACTAACTATAAATAGACAATTATCATTTTTATCAAACTAATTATTTCCTTTGACTATAATATATATGGGCAATATACTAGGGAACTATAGTCTATAATTTAGGAAGATAATTATCTCTTTTGACCATACAACATATATATATATATATAGGGGAAGGCTCTCGTGAGAATTTTTCTTATATGAGAATTTTTCTTATGTGAGAACACTCTTTATGTTCTAAATTTTTACTCGTATGTTCTAAATTTTAAATCTGATGTTCTAAACTTTTTTTTAGGTGTTCTAAATTAAATCAAATGTTCTAATTTATTACTCACATGTTCTAAACCATAAATTAGTTAAGCTTGATGTCATAAATTTTCAATAACTTGTTCCAAACTTTTAACTTTTATGTTCTAAATTTTAAAACGTGTGTTCTAAGATTTTTAATTATATGTTCCAGATTTTCTAAGATTTTTTAATTATACGTTCCAGATTTTAAAGCGTATGTTCTATTTTTTTTACTCGTATGTTCTAAATTCTTTACTCACACTTTCTATATTCAATATCAGTTTGTTCTAAATTTTTTATTCACATGTTCATAATCTTAAATCAAGTGTTCTAAATGTTACTCATATGTTTAAAATTTCATAAATCAAATTTTATAAATTTTTAATCACTTGTTCTAATTCTTAAATCAGATGTTCTAACATATTACTCACACAAATGTTCTAAATTATTACTCATATGTTCAAAATTTTAATTTGAGTCACATGTTCTAAATTTTAACTCGTATGTTCTAAATTTTTACCCACATGTTCTAAATTTTAAATCAGTTCTCATATAAGTATGAATTCTCACATATGGACCTATTCTCACCGGATCCCTCCCCTATATATATATATATATATATATATATATATATATATATATAACTCTTAAATTTGAGGATGATGCTCCTTTCTTTTGCTTGGTTGTACCGACTTGGTCTCCCTAGACAAAATGCTTTGATCAACAATAATAAGGTGGTCTAAATTGCATTTAAGGTGATTTGAAATCGAGTCAGGAATAATTTGGGTTGAATTTAGGTCGGGTAAATAACAAGTCGTGTTGATTTCGAGTTGGGTTAGTAACAGATCGAGTTAAATTTTTGGGTCGGGTTAGTAATAGGTCTGGTAAAATTCGGGTCGAGTCAGTAACAAGTTGGGTTGAATTTGGGTCAGGTCAATAACAAGTCAGGTTGATTTCGAGTCGCGTTAGGAACGGGTCGGGTTTAATTCAGTCAGGTTAGTAACAAGTCGGGTTAAATTCGTGTTTTAACGGGTTAAAACGGATTTGGGTCAATTTCGGTTCGAATCGAGTTCGGTTCAGGTTAATAATTTACGGGTTACATTCGGTTCGGGTTCGGGTCTCACATATTTGGGCAACTCGGGTCTAGGGTTGGTTTCAAGTCGGGTCTAGGGTTGGTTTCAAATCGGGTTTAAGTCACAATTTTTTTGGGTTTAAATGGGTTGGTTAATAATTGGGTTTGAGTCGGTATTTCGGGTCGAGTCAACTTTTGACATCTTTATTTAATAATATAACCTCATCATCCAACTTGTATTTTTCTTCATAAATTTCCATTACTACCCAATACCATCTCCAAATGATAATGGACGGTAATCAAAATTCATGAAGAAAAGGAGGTACTTCAGTTATGCATAATATTGAAAATTGAGGAAATATTTTTGGTCACTTTGAATACAAAAAAATAACACGGTTATTATACTGATAAGCAACCAACCAAATAGGCATTGCAGATGTCATATCCATATGTTCCAAATTTCAATCACAATTGGGTCACTTTTGGCATCTACAAATCTACAATAGATGTTTCTTGGACTCTTCATTTTAACTCAAAGTAACTATGTCGGTTCCTCAATGTTTTTTGGCCATATGGAGTGTCCAAGTGTCCTAGAGATTCCAACAGTAATAAGACTAAAACACTGGGACACTCATTTCGGGCCAGAAAAACAATAATTTTTTTTCACAAAATAGTCGAGTCGGATCCTTGGACATGATCACATGAGCCATGATCCATGAAACACCAGAGTCCGAGTAACACAGAAAAATCATCACAGCAAAAATTGGCCTAAAAATGAAGATTGTGTAGAGTTAAATGCAAATTACATATCTCATTATTAAATTTCTTATTTTCTCAACAGCTAAAAAAGATTAGCACAAAATTAAAATTACACCAAAAACAAATAAATACAGAGCAGAACACAATTTATCCAGTGATACACATTAATTAGCACAACAATGAACAAATTCAATGCACCTAATTAATCTAGGTCAGAATCATAAATCAGCGAACAAATTCTAAGCGATAATTGCTGATTACACAATACCTACTTTAATTAATTTAATCAAAGAAATTGCATAATTGTTACAAATTAACAACAAAATAGCAGCAAAAATTGAGTGAGAGAAAAACCTGAAAGGAGCAACGGAGGAAAACGGGAGGATGAGGCAAGGACGACGAAGGTGATAGTGGAAGAGGTGAGCAAAAAGCGCTGAATATGCGCCGGAAAATGAAGGATAGTTGTATAGCGCTACTACCGGCGTTTTCTCTTCGGCGGCTTTTGCGATTGCTTCAAGCGTCGCGTCTGATCGTAGTTGCCGGAGATGCCAGGAATACGCCGGCGACGGTGTGGTTCGCCGGCAGTAACGGAGGAGAGAGATTGGCATTGTACAGAATTTATTTGTATATTGTGTACAGGATACGTTTTAGAACAACTGAACTAATGGCGAGAGTGTTGATTATTAAAAAGTAAAGAGTACGAGTAACTAAACGAGTTTATCATCCAAAATTAATGGATCTTTTAGGGATCCCGGAATCCTAAAATCAAAACGGAAGCTCACTAAATTGAACTGAAATAAAATGAATATTTTATAAGAGAAGGAAATTAGGAGCTCACTGAACAGAACTGAATTTCAACGTAAGAGAACAGACCCTTATTCTTCACTCTCAATCTCATAATTTTTTTGTTAAAAAAAAGGTTGTTTTCTCTACTTCAAAAGTTGCCTAAGAGTCCATAAAAACAAAAGTGATGCAACTAAAAAAAGAAAATATATACTACCTTCGTCCCTTTGCATTAAATGTGTGTTATGTTGTCCACTTGTTGGTTCTTATGAAAATGTCTTATTGACACTTTTTTTTTTATTGACTTATTTACAAAATTGCTATAATAAATGATTTACATTGAAAAGACTTGTTCATTAGGTTTCATCAATTAATTTGTTATGATATGGGCTTTTTAATCAGCTATAATTTGACTTCTTGTAGACTAATTCAATAGTAATTCTTGAAAAAGAAATGTTCAAATGAAATGTTAGATTCATATCAATATACGCAGAGTATCACATATATGAGTTTTATTTAATAAAGGTGACCTATCTAACCTTATTATTTATGTAGTAGCTATAAATTGATCCTGGATTAAATATCATTTATTATTTAAAAAAATAAAAAATTGAAACTACCAACTCTTGTCTATATTATTTGAATATATTTTTTTTTTCATAAAATAAGGTAGCCACAATATGAGCTAATTGCGGGTAAGGTAAAGTTTTGGGTGAGACGGACTCACGTGAGTCCACCATCTTCATTCTCCTTCTTCCCCTTTCTCTGTTCTCCCTCATCAATGGCGGCCAGATCCTCCACCACTCTCCGACTCCTCTCAACTTGATGGCGATGAAGCTCCTCCAAATCCCCCGTAGATCTACTTTCTCTCCTCCTGAACCTCAATCCAAAACCCTGGAATAGATGAGTTCATCCGATAGCAGCGAAACGAATAGTATTCTTTCAAAGTTGGGACAAAGAACAAGCCTCTTTCAAAACCTTAATGGATGAAGGAATCTGATTTCCTCCCTTCCACTCACTTCTCATGAATTTCATTCTGTTTGGGAAATATAAATTTTTGACTTTAGATTAATGGAGAATGAAAAATATGTCAAATTGGTTTCCTCCATTATTAAAGCGACTTTGAGGTGATGATTTTTTTTTAATAGTAGATTATCAATTTCAATATATTGTCAGTTTTATTAAATGTTTAGTGTCAGGTATTAGATTAATATTGTCAAGCATTATATTAGTATTGTCAGGTATTAGATTGTCAGGATTAAAAAATTTTAGTCAAGAATAAGATTATTTTTATTTTTATCATAAATTTTAGCAAGGAATAAGATTATTTTTATCAGGAATAAGATAATTTTAGTAAGGAATTAGAATATTATTGTGAGGTATAAGAATATTAGTGTTATGTATTATTAGAATATTACTGTCATGTATTAGAATATTATTGTCAGATATTAAAATATTAGTGTCATGTATAAGAATATTATTGTCAGGTATTAGAATATTACTGTCATAGTGTCATGTATTTGGTGTTGCGGGCCTCGTGATCGGGTTTAGTTAGCCCGCGCCTTTTTGTTGGACTTTTGTTATTGAGTCCGGTCTTACGTGAGTCCGGTCTCACACAAAACCTTTTGTTGCTGATAATTGTTTATTGAGGGTCTGTTCTTATACGATTATTTTCAGTTCAGCTCTAATAAGTTCAGTTCAGTTCAGCTGCTAATTTCCTTCTCTTATAAAATATTCAGCTCAATTCAGTCAATCATAACAGGTCCTGAGTTATTGCCTATTGGTGAATAGTAATAAACATAACCTAAACTTAAAACATGCAAAGTTATACTTAGTAGTACTTTGTAATAATTTGGACTAGAATAAATAAAATTAAAAGGTTTAAAGTTTTAGGCCAAATTTGTAACTCACTCCACATCTTAAAAGTTTCAAACTAAAACAACTTCAATTAGAAGAAATGAACATATTATAATAACATTATAATTTTCAAGTACGCCTAGCTTGCAAGACTAGACTTAATGAATTATGTGACATGTCACGTACGTATGAACTTAGCAATGCTCATCTCCATATAAAATTGTTTATAACTCAGTAAAGTTTTTCTTTATAGAAATGTATTGTGATTTCAAAATGTATAAAGTACCTAACTTGTTTGTTTCACCAATTTAATTAGATAATGGTTTCATTTCCTAATTGCCCCAAAACACTTACTTTACTTAATATAGGGTACATTAAGTACATTAAGTTAAATTTGTGCACATTGATGGTCACAACTCACCATTATCGAAGAAAAGAGAGTGAAGATAGTAAAGATTATCCATCTAACTATAAAGATCTAAATGATTAATTGTTTGGCATTGTTTTTTGTTTTGAGTTTTCAGTTTTTTTGAAAACAAAAAACCATAAATAGAATACAAGAAAAAAGTGTTTTCACTTTTTAGTTGTTAGTTTTCAAAATTAGCATGATTTTAATAAGTTTGACTAATTTTTTATTCATTATATGACATATATCATACACTTTTAAAATACAAAAAACCAAAAAAATGAAAACCGCAACAATGCCAAACGAATCCTTTACTTGAAAATATCTTAAATTCTTAAGTACGACACTCAAGACATGAGATCAAATTCTTTATATCACTCACCCTTCTAGTTCCGTCATACCGAAATCATAAACTTTGTAAAATTACTTGCAAACTCAAATGTTGTTATACTAGTGTCATAAGGTAGAAAAAGGTTAATACCTTGAGGACTCGAGGATGGTAATCAATGGAGATTTATACCATCAATGGAATCACAAGAAGAAAATTCTATGATTCCTAATACACTATACCACCCTTTTGTGGGACCTTGGTTGACAAGGACTTTAATATTAACATAATCTAGGGTATACCATAGTGTCTTGAGATATTTTTCTCTCTCTTCTTCCAATCTACGCTTCTCATATTTTTTAAATTTTATTCTTCCTAACTTCCATGGTGTTTTACTGTTCTTGGGTTCTTCTTCATTCCCTTTGTTTTTCTGCAATAATGTATCCTCATTTTACCATTTTTTTGAGTTTATTCATCAAAAAATTTCATGGGTAATTTTTTAATTCATTAATGATCAATTTCTTTGCATTATATGTCATTGCACCGATTATTGATTTTTTATTTATTTATTTATTTTTTAGGTTGAATTGATTATCAGATGTTTTTGTTCCAGGTTGCTGCAAATTATGGTACGTTATACTTCATCTTAATAATTATATAAACATCGCATGATGTTGAAGATGATGATGATTATTTTGTTGTGGTTTTGATGTTCTTTTGAATGGTTTTATTGCTATCTTCTTTAATGTTCTTATTATATTTTTAATTTTTGGATTTAAATTATACCATCATTGTGACTATTAATTAGTTAATTACACTATCAACGCGACTTTTAATTTCGAACACAAGGAGAATACCTGGTTTCGATTTAAATTATACCATCATTGTGATGGTTAATTACACTATCAACGCGACTATTAATTTTGTACACTAGTAACACAACTACTAATATCTTATTGATTTTAGCTATTGAGGAGTATTTTTTTCTGGGTTAGATGCATGAATAATGCTGTTTTGTTCCCTTGATTTTGTTATTTGATTTTTATTATATTATGTTATTGATGGGTTTGTTTTCTTAAAAAATATATTTATTGATTTCCTCTTGTTGTCTTGGTCTGCTGCTGCGGTTTTGTATAATGCTATCAGTTTTTCTTAATATTTTGATCTTGGAAACAATGATCATTATCTTTGTCTTGCAAGTGGGTTATGCAAGTTGCTTCTATTTTCCCTCGAGTTGGGCATTATGCAGCTAATTACCCTTATTTAACATGATTATAATATTTCCTTTGAGCTTTGGTATACCATGGCTGTCTATTATAACTCTATATGCTTTGTATTTGTTTGTTTTGTAATCTCAACGAAGTTATTCGATTGATCTATTGCAAGTGGTGAGTCGTGAATTGGATAATTTAGTATTGTTAAAAAAATCGAGGAAGAAGTGTCCAAATTCTATTTGGTTTGCATTACGATTGAAGCTTACATTGTGTTTGGTTAGCAGTTGTGGAGGTGGAGAGAAAGGGAGGGAGGTGTGTGTGTTGGGGGGGGGGGGTTTGGTGAAGTGGGCTATCATTTTCCTTCAAACTTTTTCCAATAGTGAAGGGATTGTGCTTCTTAAAGGGAAAAGGAAATGAATCTCTCCAATTCCATTCCCCTCTCTTATTCTATGTTGTATCCAAATAAAAATAAAATAAGTAACTCATTTTGTCACCCACATTTTTCTCTTATGTAACCTTTTTACCCAAGCATAGTGATAGGTGTAGCAGCTTTAAACATTTGTAAATGAAAGAGGTTGTTGTGGAAGAATGTCATCCAGGTCAAATATGGTTTTACCAAGGGTACGATGATAAAGCTACAAAATATTTGGAAATTCCTTTTTCGGAAGCTTGCAAGTATTCAAGGTCATCAGTTTTAGGGTAAATATAAGTTTAGGGGTTTTGTTTTAGCATAGTATTTGATATGATGGACCGGTGATTCATCTTTAAAACCCGATTTGGCCTTAGTTTACTTTCTTCCTAAGAGGAAAATTTGGGTTAGCATAATGAGATGTATTGGTGTGGGGTGATAAAGAAAGTTGGGTTATTCAAAGTGCTCATATATCAAATTATACTTTCTGTAAGGAGCTGTAGTATACAAACAATTTTGTTCTTAGAGCTATTGTATATATGTCTGTGTTGCATTTGTTCATTATGTCAATGACGACAACAATATCTTAAAACCATCGAGGGAGCATGGCCATCTGCCTGTTTTGGCTATTAGGTAGCTTTATACCTTGGAAGTACTGTTGCATACATCATATTTCCAATATCTCACGTTTCCACTAGCAATATGATCTTTGTTTGCATACATCATATTTCCCAAGAATGTGCTTTGTAGGCATTGACATATCCTGAATTAGATGTTTGACATCTTTCCTGTTATGGAACTATGGGATTTTCAGCAGATTCAGTGTGATGTTCCAGAGACAACCATGTGGTTAAGCCATAGGTAAAGCAAAATGGCTCTTCTTGGTGCAAGGAATTTTTAGGCTCACCCTTAAGTGATCCCAGGATAGTGCAGCTCATACACATTAAATTATTACTCACAACACAATTCCATAGCAGTATTTTCTCCTGCTTGTCAAACCTTCCTGAATTGGTCCATTATAAAATAATTAGCAAGCCAAGGTTACCTGACAATACTGGAATCAAGTAAAATTTATGTCTTCCCTTAGTGCTTTTACAGTTTTACTGGCTCTCATATGGTCCATAGTTTCTAATCCATGAGTCCAATGCATTACATTTAATAACAAAAAAAATTGAACTGAGGAACAACATCTAGGAGTCTTAATTGATACAAGTGAATGATGGCTTAGTGCTCTTTCTTAAATGAAAAGAAGCTTGGTTGGGTTTTAAATAAACTTAGCTGCTGCTGGAATGGCAGTTTATTTCCCATATTTTTCCTTTATTTCTGTAGCTTTTTTCATGACAACCATTACATGTTATCTGTAGGTGCAGTATCATTGATACAGTTTAATCTTCTCTGCTCTTTGGCTCATTAGTTTCCTTTTTAACAACTCCAGCTGCTATGATTCTTGTTGCACTTTCCTAGTATGAAACTTCTTTATTAAACAATAGAGAACCATGCCAAGTCATTTTATATCATTTGCCAATGATCTCATTGCAAAAGTATATACATTTTTTGTTTTACGTTATCTAATTTAGATTTTTTGCAAAAAAGTACACTGCCTTTGCTGCAGTTAGAAGTAGTTTTTTATTGTAGCTTGCATCTTTCCTTCTTCGACGTCATGGAATCCTTTTGACACTAAGGTCTCTACTTGTAATCCAGCAACAGGGAGTTATGGCTTTACAAATTGCAAATCTTCTATCAAATTGTATTTTACAGGCTGAAGTGTAATTTTTCAATTGATCAGGCCAATGATTCATGATCTTTATTTCACAAGAAAAGGGTCTACAGCTACTAGCATTTGAATTCGTGAAACACACCATCATAAGAACAATTACATACCTTACAAAAAAAATAAATATATATTTAACAAGCACATCTATCGTTTTTTTATTATGGAAAGCTATTGTTGGTCATTGGTCTGCTATACTAAATTACCGCTATGTACCAAATCATACCAAATCTGCAGTTGTTGCTGAATGCTTCTTTCTCTATGAGCACATGCATCTTCCCATTCAAGTAGAATGGTTTGTTTTAATGCTTGGCTAAGCATTTGGTGTGGCACTGGACACAGTACCAGCTTTGTTAATGTAGTTGCAAGCTACAAACAAAATGTGCCTTATTAGTGTAAATTATATTTTCTCCTTGATTCTTTTTATGAAATTCTGAAAAAAATAGTTGATTGGAGAGTCAAAGTACCATAATTTCATTTTTTTTTGTTGATGTTTCATCGTTGTGCTGCTCTGGTTGCTTAGCTGGAGATTGATTGCCGTGTTCATGTGAGAATCATTATTGACATTATATGACATGTGTGGGTGTTGCTGTATCTGATTCGTTTCCTCTGTTGTGCACACCTGAAATTCAGAATCTTTCTTAGACACACTAGCAAACAGAAGGCCATCAGAAATTGAATTGTTTCTTACAGTTGATTTCATTTATTATATTAATGGCCTCTATTCATAAAACAGCCTCTCTGTTTGATACCTGCTTTTGTAGCTCTGAATTTTGCTGTTTCACGAGATTTAATTGCTTATAAAGCTCAATATTGTCTTGATGAATTATAGCTCCCTGCAACAAGTTTAACAACTTTCAGCACACTTTGTTACGTGCATAAATAGAATAAAATTAGTAGATATTGTTGATGAAGTGACCCTTTGGTTAAGTTCTCTGATCTCTTCAGATAGGAGTTGGTCCTGCAAACAATAGCAAAGTTGTTAATTGTTGTGTTTGCATTTAGGATTTGAATTTGTGCAGCAGAAATATTTCACACCTTTTTCATTCTCACACTTTTCAAGCTTGTTTCCAATTGAGTTTCCAAGTTCTGCATGTCTTTGATGCTTAAACCTGAAAGTTCTTGCCCCATAAGTTTCCTGCAACCATCAAACTGGATGCTAAGATATAGAGGCGGAACTTTTTGCAAGTCTGTTGAAAATTGAATATTTGCGTTTCAAAATTTAAAATGTTACTGTAATTTGTAGCCAAGTGTCTTTGTTGTCCTCTTGGAGTAGATAACTTTTACAGTTTCAATATGTGTCATTCCTGCCTGACTTTGTGGTTTTTTATCTATTGGAAGTTCATTGATTCTTTGAATTAAACTAACCGGTTTTCCCAGAAAGCAACTGTCTTTCATTTTTAATAATAACAATAATGGAAAAAAAAACCAAATAAATATCAGATTCCTCTAGGATTTTTTAGCTGTTTACCTTGTTATTTTGTTTTTGACTATTCTCTTTTCTATATTTCTATCTAAGCTGACTATTGATGCATTGATTAGCACATACCCACTAGTTTATCTCCAACCTCTTGTTATTCTCTGATGTGAACTATTGTTTCCTGGAACAGATTTATTCTCTTGTGCAGTTGTGCTACTCATCCATCTTGGATTTGAAGAAAAGCAATCATGCTACTTAGGTAAATGAGTTTTGATTTTAGCTACCTGTTTTCAGTGTTGTGTGCTTGAATGACGAATGCTGCTAGTCACTGGAACGGTGGAACCATAATCTAGCTTGTGCAAGCTATATTTTACTTGATGTGTCTTTCTAGCCATTACCTTTCACTTGAAGATCAAAAGCTGAAATCTTGAATCGTTGTTTGAGGGATATGTGTATTGTATTAAAATCTTGAATCGTTTTTTTGAGGTGTATGGGTAGTGTATCTAAATTCAAAATCATGATCAGTGATTCAGTTCCATATGGGACTATATCATGAAAACTCTTGCAGTCATTTAGGGATATTTTGTACAAATCATGAATGATGAGTTTGGTGTGCTCAAATTTATATTTGAATCCTAGGAAACAGTTGGGAATCTCCTATGTGTAATTTGATGCTCAATCCAAAATATAATTTCTCTTGAAATATCTGAATATCATTGGTAAATGTTGATAAATAGTGTTTGAAATATTACTCTTTCTGTAGTGCATAATTCCCCCCCCCCCCCCCCCCCCCCCGCTCTTTTGTGTAGTTCTTTCTTTATATATTATTATATTTGTATGAGATGAATTAAAGTCATCGTAATCACGTAGTAAAAGCTGCAGGGGTATGATGCTGGAATGTGACAGATTTTGTGCAAACCACCACATAGAAATCACAGGTATGTCTGGTATCATAACGTGGCTACTTGCTTACCAAAGTGTAAAGCAATTTTCAGGCTATTGATGGTCAATTGGAAAATATTACAGTATATTATTTGATAATATCGAGTTTAAGGTCAAAGTTTGGTTTACCTGTGACTTTCTTGTAAATATTGCAGCTGTTGCCTCAAGTTTGCTGCCTCCCTTTGCCAAAACTGTAATAGAAATAGGAGAAATGGTTATTGTCATTTTCTATTTTTACATCATGCTGATATAGGGGTTCGGCTTTACATGTAATGCTGAAATGGTAGTACTGGGGGCTCTTTTAGTTCAGACATCACATTTGGTAGTGCAGTAAATTTATACAATGCGTCATGAAATATAAAAAAGAAAGAAATCAGTCCTCTGTCATTGCCATTGTTATATTTTTTTCCTTTTCTTAATATTATTTTGGTGATATTTTAAAATCGATTCCTTTAGAAGTTTTACCTTCATGTAACAAAGGTAATATTAGGCCTTTAACATCTGATCACCTCATCCCTTTTAACCTACACTGATATTCCCATGTTTCTCCTCCCCCTTCCATTTGTGACCTCAGCTCCACATTTATAGCCTAGATTGATTATCAACCTTATCAGTATCACCATCTGAAAAGTCAGCTTAGGTATGTAGTTCATTGGCATGGATTTTCAGATTGTGGTTAGCGGTGAATTTTATGGTTAGTTTATTAGTCTATGTTCTTTGTTTTCATTTTTAATTATGCATTTTCCTCGATTGGTGACTATCGGAAATTTGACATTTTCATATGCACTTGACAAACAATAAAATTCCTGATATAGGATATGTTATTATGTACAATGATGTTAGACAAAATTTTAATCTAAGGTGTAATGGCTACAAAGCAATTAGGTACCATTGGTAATGCATACTTCCTCTAGGCAGGATGTTTCCCAATAATTATTATAAGGGTGGATTTTATTGCAAGCCAAGATGGTAGAATTGAGTCTCTTTGAAGTCAGAAAATTTGAAGAACGGTGCTTTGGGACAATGTACATTAGATGTTTGATGCAAGTTGCTACCTTTAATGGTTGTAGTACGTTGAGGCGTAGTGTTAATATCCTACACAAGAGTGCAAGATCTGCCAATGTGAGGTCATATAAATGTTAGGAAATTGTTGGCTCAACCCCCGGAGCTCGGGTGGCTAGATGAAAACCCGCCCGCTCAGGCTGAAGATCCACTCGAGATTCTGAACACCTCATATATGTTGAAGGCCTGACATAAAGCAAGTGGACATTGCAGCGAAGATGTCATGACAAGGCTGCATGGACTACTAAAAGAGACCTAGTAGGATTGTGTTCCAAGATTGAGTGATATAGGTGAGAGTTGGCTTACTTGGGGTAAATTAGGCAACAGTTGCTAAGATGATGCCTTACTTTAGATGAGGTAGACTGGCTGGAATTTGGAAGAGGTGCACCCTAGTGAGTTATGAGACAATTGCTAAATTGGATCTGGATAATGGCTCTGTAGTCATGATTTGTAAGGTCATTTAACTTCTTGGCACAATGAAAGAAGTCAAGACTCAAGAGCACAAATTTAGTCTAACATAAACTAGTCATGTTTGTAAGAGCTCTTTTATGAAGCAAAAGGCAGGAAGTCCATATGCACTGTGCTTTTAGAAACAGTTGGTGCTGGAACCTTGAAGTTTGTTAGAGTTCATGAATTGAGTGTATAGGAAAAACTATTTTTGAGTTTAATGTTGAGCTATCAATTTTTGAGGTAGATGGTTTGCCTGACATGCCCTGTGGGTTGCAAATTTTTTGTCAAGTTTAGAATCCTTGTTTGCGTGCTAGGTTGCTAGCTGAAAGAAAGAAAGACTTCTTCAAGATTGGGTCAGACAGAGAAAATTGTTTGAGAAGAAAATAAAGGGTAGCCAAGGATGGAGATTTCATCACATAATCCTCTAGTTACTCATAAAGATCACCCTATATCCTATCTAAAGTCATTCTGTCTTATCATATGTCTGTCTCACATAAACTATTAAGTGTAAGAGTGATTGAACTCAAAAGTAGGGTAATATACCTACGTAATTGTTTGAGTGGCTTTGGTTGTTGGTACATATTAGAGGAATTGTAAGTATAGTCGTGATTTATATGCCCATGATAAGACTTATAGTGGTGATTTATATGCCTGTGATATGACTTATAGTGGTGATTTATATACTATGATATGACACATCTTTTTTCTAAGAAAAGATTCTTACTGGAATTATTCATCTGATATTTACATTGATAATATTAATGACAGGGCTTTTATTAAAGGCCTTACTACCTCTTACCCGGCTAATTGGCCTTGAATAGTCAAATTCCTTCGATTGACACTCAAAAACACATTCTAAATAGTGTTACCTACTAAACACTGTGCAACATAATACTTCTTATCTTGTAAATATACTATAACACATAAAGTTACTGCTGTTCTTGTAGCTTGGAAAAGAAGAATGATGATACTTTAGCTTTAATTTCATAAACGTGGAAGATGGTATTTTGGGACATTTGTTGGAGCACTTGCAAAGAGAAAACCCAAAATGTTTTGAGCTTTTGCTACCCCTAGTCAAGGTTTCAAGTTCCCTTATAACATGTTTTCATAGGAACTTTTTTTCCTCTCTCTAAATCTGAGTGCCACATCCACCCATCAACCTTTTAAACTCTCCTTAGTCTTTGCGAATCAATAGAGTTAATCATGGGACGGATTAAAACGTGTATTGATTGCAGATATTGATCAAAATCTGGTCTCAAAGACCTTAGAATGTGAAACAGGCTGGGGGTTATTTGTTTTCTCATACTTAGAAGCTCTTGCCTAAAACTCAATGGCATTAACATACTTAAGTAATAGAGTAGGGCCAGCCATAGGGGTGACTGATTAGGATGAGCTATATGCCTATATTGGTAAAACTTGCACAGAATGTGAGATGCTTTTAGAGGGCTGGTGTGTCTTTTAGTGTCTTAGTGGGTAATTGAAGTCATAGACCAGTGGGAAGGAGACTGATCAAGAAGAATTATTCGTTGCAATGCTATGCTTCAGTAGGCTTGTTTTTTAGAAAGGGGCAAAAAGTTTGTGTTTCCTCTCTCCCTTTGAAGAGGACAGAATTACAATTATTTTATTTTGTGTTTTATAATACCTGATCTCATGCTCATCTTTGTTGTCAAAATTACAATTGAGATTTTTTCTTCTTCTCCTTTTAGGACATGCTTGGATTGAGGGTAATAATTTAGAGGCTAGTAATTTAAGGGGTAATAAGTCAAAGTGTCAAACCAAGAAATATGACTGTAAATGAAGACGATAGAGTATGAGGTGGTGATAAAGGAAATATTATAGTGGTGGTATGATGAAGAGAGAGAGAGAGAGATGGGGAGATTATCACCCTCATAATAGGGGTAATAGTTGCCCACCATTATACTAGGATAACAATTACCCCAAGATGAGGGTAATAGTTTCCCTCACTTCCTTTATCATCACAGCATCACTATCTCATTTGCATTGAAAGTCACACCATCACTACCTCATTCTCTCACAACTACTTAGATCCATCTTAGTTTGACTTTTGTTACCCCCTTAATGCTCTACCCCCATTCCAAGCATGCCTTTTGAGGAAGTACCCTCCTTGTTCATGGGCTGGCACTGTTTGATCACTTGCATACCTGTTTTGAGCTGTGGCCTTGTTGAATCCGGCTACCTGGCACCCTGCTGCCAAAAAAGAAACGAACTATATTTTAATGAAATATATACTGATTGTTGCAGGGCTTTGAGGCTCTTCTGAGTTGCAGGTATCTTCTGCAAATGAAACATAAGGCAATTAGATTATAGGCTTGCTGGCTGGAGCTTTTGTGTTTCTACTATGCTACTTCATGCGAGAACTGCAGCTCATGCTTCGTAAGTTGCCACAGCCCCTTTTTTTATGACTTTGTCGTATTCTTGTAAGTGAGGATGATGGTTGAATGAAGCTGCTCAAATGAAAAGAGGGAAAATAATAGATGTATTTATGGGTAAAACAAGATAACACCGTGATCTTGTGACAGTGTTATCTGTAAAACTACTAACTTTGTAGATGTGAGAAAGAGAGGAAGTGGTTGAGAGGGAAGTACACGTCTCTAACCTCTCATGACTGCGTATCTTAATCCCCTAGTACCCTCAATGGCTCAATCTGTTTAATGCATCAGCATATGTTCTATACGATTTCTGCCTAGGGTGTAGAATATCAGGATGGCAAAAAGATTTTTTGGTGGCTGGATAGTTGTAGAGGGGGCTTTGATAGCAAAATGAAATTAGCTGGTTTCTGGATATAATAGAATACTTCTTGGTTTCACTTGTTGCTTCATGCCTTCATCAAGTGATATACTGGACAATGCCTTTACTTCCCTTCATTTTCACCTCACCTTAATCGTGCTGTATCATCTGCACTCTAGTTTGTTCAGCACCCTATAACTTTCTTTAATCTCCGGCCACTGATGCCTATGAGACTTGGAAAGAGAAAACCAGCATTTTGGTAGGTTATTCTTGTAATGCAATCTTGTGGTTTCCTTGAGGTAGTTGTTCATTTCAACTCTATTTTGGTGAGAGTTATAGATAATCTGATGCTGGAGATTGGTTTAGAAATGTTTGAATTACTCTTAAGACATAAATTAACATTTGGGATTTTTCTTCCCTTTTTTTGGGTTATTTTTGTCTGTTATTTGTAGGATTCCTTGGATTTTGTTTCTACGTATTGGGGGTGTGCTTTTGATTCTTTAGAAGTTGTTACTAGAGGTGAATAGCAGGGAAGAATTTTCCTCAGTTCCTTTCCACCACAGATTTTCCCTCTTCATCCCTGACCCAACAAAAGGAGCTAAATACTAGCACAGGAGATAAAGGGAAGAGAGACACCCTTGGTAACAAAGTAAATAGCGCCTTTAATCAACTTGCCTTTTTTTCCCTCTAACAGGGTCATTCTCAAACATCACAAGCTCAGAACTTGACGAAGGAAAAGAATTTTATCAGTAATTTGATGAGTCGCTTTTTTTTTCGAGCTATTTTGGATTAGGTGATCCAAAATTCCAAGTTTTCTTAGTCCCTTCTCTGCATTCTAGAAAGAATTTTGCTCCAGAATAGTAGTAAGACAAGCCTTGGCTAAGAAATTTTAAGCTCTTGGCTTCATCACAGGTTTGTCTCAGAAATATTACTTCTATATCAACCACTAGTCAATGGTCACATCATTTGAGCTGCTCCTCCTTACCAAACGAATGACGGAGCCCAGATTTTGAGTTTGGGTATCTATAAAAAAAAAAAGAAAAAAAAAAAAAAGACAAGTCTAGCCCGTTTTGATAATCATGCATCTCTCCACCAAAAGTAATCCTTCCTTTTATAGGTGTCATTTATGTTATTCTGTCATCTGCTTTGTATTTCTATATTTATCTCTCCGTCTTGATGTTCATTCTATTTTTCAAGCTATTTCGATCTCCTGAATTATTAGTTTTCACTGCCCTCTCCCCCTCTGATAAACTTTGATAGTTTGAAGTTGGTGTCAATTTTTGAGTTCTGTTACCACTGTCTACTGCAATTCTGATTATTATTTGATGGCCAACAGACAAATCGATTGTCTAATTGACTATAAGTAAACACCAGTGTATCTATTTCCTACAACCAGAACCATAGTTACCATTATACGAAGTAGTTTTTACTTGTCCCATACTATTTGGCACACTTATCTTTGACAAAAAATCCTTCTCTCTCTCTCTCTCCAACTTAGCTCTTTCTCTTACTTTTCTCTGTGGAATAGGTGAGTGTGCAAAATAATTTGGGACGAGAGGAATTTTATCAGCCACAACAACATATTCCTTCTGCACCTTAGGTTTCACTACTGCATTGCCTCATTTCTCCTTTCCACACTCTAGAACTTCTTCCATATTGAATGATAAATTCAGTAAAGAAGAAAAGGGGCCAGGGGCGACACAGCAAATGCACTTTTTGGTGCAGTCGGTTCATTGGGTATGTTTGGTTTAGCTTAATTTGGTGTCTGATGTGCTGATGGCTTGATAGTAGAGTATATGTGACCCACTTGGAATATTTGTAGTAGACTGGCTTTGTGGGAAGAGAGTTGCTATTATTCGTTTATATTATGAGTATCTTGGGAAATGTTATAGGAAAGAGAAGGTTAACAAAAAAGAATTATCTGTCAACTTAGTATATTTAGGAAGGCAGAAAGAGAGGAGAAAATTAATCAGAAAGTTGTAACTATTTTGCTTTGCTTTAGCTTGTTACTTTGTTAGTCATTGAGTGGGAGCTGGGAAGGTCCAGCCACTCAAATGTCTGAAAATGGTCTTTAATTGATTATGTAATTGCATCAGTAATGTGTACAATTATCAACCTTTCCTAGTTACTCTTCTTCCCTTGTTTAATTGCATATTACGTAACCTACTGCATGTTTACAGAAATAAAATTAATACAAAACAGTGTGCATGCAGGTCAAGCTTTTTTGTTTAAGCAAGATTGATCAAGTGATAAAATTTTCTTACCTTAAGTTCAGAAGCAGCAGATGACAGCTGGTGGTTGTTCTCTTCCTTCATTTTGTTGTATCTTTCAATCACCATTTTCATGCTGAAAGTAGCATTCAAAAAATCAATGTCACTTTTCCTAAAGGGATGAATTTAATAGTCATGGTAATGCGGGTTTAATGATACTTTCAATAAATTCCTGCCATGACAACCCCCCCCCCCCTCTTCTCTTCTGAGTGAGCGAAGTTCAGAGACCAGCTAACAGGATGATCACTGAGGTCTAACAAGAAGAGGTAGCTACCCTATAGCAACTTCATTCAGAAACATGGAAAAGATTTAAAAAAAGGCGGAGCTGAAGAGCTTTCTGCTGCTGCACAAATTAATTCAAGGATACAAGGATGATAAACACTATGGTATAGGTAATGTCTAATGTTCTCTATATTCTTCCTAAAGTTTGAACTAAATCTGGTTTTGTCAGCAAAATTTATAGCTACAGCAAATGGATGGTGGTTAAATTAGACTACGATGAATGTGAATGAAAGACTATAAGTACATGTTGAGCCACTGAATAGCGACATGTTTAAGGAATGCGAAGGAGGCTCTTTTCTCTTGGCATGGAAGTAGGGGGTATTAGAAATGTTTATGAATAAAAGTAGGTATTATTTGAACAACAGATTGGTGTATGATTTCATTAGTTGATAATTAACTTATTTATGTTTTGACCAGTAGAATATATTACTTGTACAAAATTGCTAATAACAGCTATCAGTTTTTAGCAATCTGGTTATGTAATGTTAAAAGAGTTTTGACATATTTCATGATTCATTGTTCTTATTTGACCATTTAATAAAATTCTCTCTATGCTCTTTCCATTATTATGTGTACAAACTATGTCTATTTGTACATTAGGGCATTAAAAATATCGATTTAATTATATACCGAAAATGTGGTAACCCTAGCACGAATGAATACACACTTGAAAATTTTAATAATGAAGGTTTCGAACCCATGCGCTCTCTCTCTCTCTCTCCCCTCCCCCCCCCCCCCCCCCCCCCCCCCCTCCCCTCCTCCCAAATACTTTGACCTCCATGATTGGTAGTTCAAGGCACCCTTATAGGAAACCCTAATTTTCATTGTTTGCATGTCACATTATTGAAATAGAATTTTATGTATTGAATGTATGGTATTCTCTTCTGTAAATACGATAATTTTTTAATTTACTCCAAAATCTATAGATTTATTATATTGTAGTGTTCAAACTTAGTTTTTTGCAAATGAATTTTCTCTACATTTTTTTTTATTTTTAATTTTTTTATGACATTGTTAGAACTGTATTTTTTTTTTTTTTTTTTGAAACACTGTTAGAACTGTATTTGATTAATTGGTCATCATTGTAAGTGAGTAGACATTCAATCAACAGATTTAGTTCTTATTTCAATTTATGAGAGTTGAACCCGTAATAAATCTTCTATTTTGAGAGGGAATATTCTATTCATTTTAAGCTTAGACATCTTTTTAAACCTTTAATTTGTTTAACCCTAGAGGGTAAGAATTTTGTAAATTGTAGTTTGTGATTTTTCTTTAGGATGAGTGTTGATGGAATATATGTTTAGAGATTAAGTAACAATTCACATCTGAGTTGTGAGGTTTCAATTTGATAATCCCACATTAAATTAGAAGAGAAAAGAATATTAGCGCATATAATCTATCAATTGAATATGAGATGTAAGTCATAGAATCATGTTGTATGTGATTAGGCTCTTTTCAGAGTAGAGTTTTTATGTTTAGCGGAGTTTGCACACTAAAGATTTAATTTAATTATTAGAGCAAATTTATGTTCTTTTCCCATCTCCATTCTCAAAATAAGATTAGGGCTCATTGTTTTGAATAATGCAGTTGTATAAGATTTGAAGATTACTTAGGAACATTAAAACTAATACTTCATACAAATGATTGCCGTCCGGCCCCAATAAGGTGGATTCACATGTAAGAAAATTGTGTGGTCTAACTCTCCCATCGTTTGGTATTAAACTCGGTGGAGATTTGCCAAGTGATATCTTGAAACACTAGTTTGTTTGTTTGTTTGTTTTTTCTTGTCATTGTGCATGTTGATAAATCACACATTAAAATGATAAAATTCATTTACATTTGATGTGCATTCATCCCTTCCTAACATCACATTCATGCAAAAAATTTTCAATATATACGTTTTAATATAATATTAAATACAATTTTCAAAATAATTATTGGTAGATTTAAATAATATTAGGTACAATAAGATATAATAATAATAATAGTCTACTGTGCAAAAAAAGACCAATAAAATATAAAACCTCAACATTTTTTACAATCACTAGTGGGATGAAAAAAATAAATTTTATTGATTCAAAAATTCAAGATAATTATAGAACAAACTGTACAAAATACAATAAGGAATCATGAGAAACAGTACTAAATGTATAAATGTAGAACTTCCAAAACTAGAGCCTCTCCTGCAATAATTTAAGCTCAATACTGACAAGAAAATCCTGATCAATTCATGCTTCTATGTCTTTTTTCACTCAAACCAACAAAAATAAAGGCATCAAATTGTACGTTTGTACTCCCATTTATTTGCTCACAACATTGGACTATATCTAAAAAAAAAAGAACATACATAAATACATACCTGACGTAAATAGTACCAGTTTATAATATTAAAAAAGAAAAACAAAAGGCTAACATGTCCGTTAACCAAGTATATTTAAAAAGAGTGCAGATTATACGATTAATGCAATAATAGCTTATGCCAAAATTTTGACTATGAGAGGTCGGAACAGTGTGATAATAACCAATTTCGAACAAATTAAATTAAATAGCTAAAGAGCCATGCAATGTAATCAATTGAGGCCAATACTTGAACATTTTGTTTTGTGGTGGTCCTGATGATGAAATGGTCTTACTCGAGGCTAGACAGTACAATATACACTATGGATTTATCCTTTTCGATTTGTGGAGGAAGGGCATGCGCATATAACAGCCAATTGTGATGATTATATTATACAAAACTCATAACAAGGTTCAAGTCAACCAAACCACTAGGGTTATATATAGAATTAGCATATAGTGTACGAATTGAACTAATAAGTACGTCTCTGTACTCTACACCTAATTTTCGCTAATTTTAGGACTTATAAGCTTTGATAAGTTCAAATAATATAAGTTCAATGATATTAACTTTAGATAAAATAAATTCAAGGTTAATAAAGCTTAGATAAGTTTAGATAAGATAACTTTAAAGATAAGTAAATTTTGATTAGATTATTTCAAGGATATAATAAGTTTAGCTTATATAAGTTTAATAAGTAAAGATATATATGTTCTAGCTAATAATTTTAAGTGTAGGAATTACAAAGTACTAATAATTAACTTCGAGATTTCATTCTTACCATCTTATTTTTGCTAGTTAGGCAATAAGATAAGCTCAATATTGTTAAGTTCAGATAGTTAAGTTTGAACATATACGCTTATTGATTTTATTTTATTATTTAAAAAAAAAGCTTAGTAACAAAAACTTCAAAAAAATGTTATAATTAGTTGAAGGCAAATTAGTCTATCTAGATAAGATACAAAGTCAGTAATTTGGTTTTATCGGACTAAAGATTAGAAGTTCTTTTTAGCTTCAATTTCCAAAGTGAGACAGCTTTACTCATGTTTGTTTAAACACTAGACAATAGACATGTATTAATCTGAGTGATACATAATAAAATGAAGATGTAAGTTTGAGGAAAGATAATCAACTGATTTATCCTACAAACTAATCTAAAGAAAATTAATATGTAATAGAAGATGTTTGGGAACAACTCAACTATGAAACTTGAGATCAGAAAAAGGCTAAAAATTCTTTAGGAGAGATAGAAAGAAAACTGAGATAGATCTAACAATAGATGTATATAGATTAATGACATTAATCAATTTAGATGGTAAGCTGGCAAATGGTCACTATGTAAGTTACAAATTGGGCGAAATTACATTTGTTGAAATGAAAGGTGCACTCTATTCACCTGATGTATACTAATCTTTATACTTATTAGAACTTATTAGACATTACCAAAACTTATTTTGTTTGCAAATTGAACTTGGGTAGCCTAATTAACCCTTAACAACACTCATCTATTCTTAATATTAGTGAAATTAAAGTGAACAGAATATAGTCAAACTACAACTATTGAGGTGAATTTAATGTATGTACTCAATAGTATGATGTCAAAATTAATTATCGAAAAAGGGCATAGTAGTCCCTTGAAGAAACTAGACATTACTTCGATTCAATACCAGTAATTTTAACCCCCTTGAGGAAATATATATTTTATTATCAATTAGAACTTTGTACACATTCATTAATCAGCTAATAAATTGTATTTTACTCCAATAAAATAGCAGTATTATAATTCAATAAATTCATAAAACATGTGTGTTGGGTTTTAGGACTACAAAAATGTAATTTTAGTTCTCCAATTGCACACGTGAAATTTAATTTTCATTAGTTAAACCAAAAAAACTCTTCTTGTAATGAGATTTATGTGAGGATGGTGTTATATACTTTTAACTTTTATCTTTTGCACCAAAAAAAAGAGAAAAATTAAAAGTACAAATTAAGGAATATTCCAATTTATATTCTTCAATTTTAACCAAAAATAACAAATCATGTATCTAGTATACTAGCTTATGAATGTTTAATTTGATTTATAAACATCGTATTGACTTATATCCACATATAAATTACAACCTCTGTTTCATATTAGTTGCAACGATTTGACATAAATTAGAGAAGAAAAATGTGTAATCATGGCAAATAATATATAACAGAGGTAATATATAATCTCTTTACAAAAATTAAGAAAAAGATTAAGATCAAAATATAGGAATAAATTCCCTAAAAATAATACTATGTATATATGTTGATGCTTATAAATTTCTTATTTCACTAACCCATCGATCAAGAACATGATAATTAAGGATATACTAATCAAAAGAATTAATTAGATGAGAAGAAAACATTAAATCAAGAAATTGTAAACATACTTGGTGCTTGCAAAGTCATAGAGTTTTCCGGTGCTAGAAAAGATAATTGCTCCAACTTCTGCATCGCACAAGACTGATAATTCTCGAGCTTTCTTAAGCAATCCACTTCTTCGTTTTGAGAAGGTTACTTGTCTACTTGTTGCATTGTCAATCCTTTTTATCACAATTTTTCCTCTCCCCATTTTGTCTAAACAAAATTTTCGATATTTTAGGTCATAATAAAAAAAAATTAAAGACAAAAAAATTAAGAAGATAAACTAAATTAAAGCAAAATTATGCATGGAAATAAATTATAATCAATCCACCCACAAAACACATGAACCCCAACATTATTGGAGCTATATTAATGATATGAATTACTTCATAATATTATTTCGTAATAATAATATGTAAAACATTAGATCTCGCGGTTAAAAACATGAATTATTCACATGAATACTAACAAAAATTAAATGATAAAGTTTGATTAAGGTTTTTCTAATTAAAAAAAAATTTAAAGCTTTTTTGTATAGATGAAACATATATCATTTACCTAGTATGGAAAGGGGAGAGAAAGATTTATATTTATTTGATGGAAAATACAAAAAACAAAAAAGTTTCTTTTAGAAGAAAAGATTGAAAGAGAGATTGACTTACTATAAGAGTTGATGAGCAGCTTTTGATAATGAGCAAGGACAAACTAATTAGAGAAGAAGCTATATTTGATGGACTTTTTTTTTTTTTTTTTTCTTTTTTTCTTTTCCTATCTCTTTCAAAATATATTGGAAATTTTGTTTCGATAGTCGTTTTAATTTTTAATTCATTTAGTTATATTATAAGACGTCTTGTAGTCTTGTACGGATTAGTATTTAAAATAGAAATGCTTTTAAAATAGAAAGCTTCAATTACACTATAGACACTTTATTAATGCCAATATACTATAACTAACAATATAATGATATTATAAATCCCTATGATCTCAATAATAAAGCCAACTATGGAGTAATTAATTAAAATTTAATTATAGTATTAACATTAATTAATTAATAAAAAAACCTAAAACAAGGAGCGCTAAGTATGTTAATACTGCCCTTAAAAACTGCTTACCGGATTAGGAGACCCCCACTCGCGCGAATGAGATTAAATTAAGTCACACGCGCTCGTATTTGTTTGACAAGTGTCGAGAGAATCAGCGACAAATCTTTACATGAGATATGCCACACCAATTACAACGGCCTAATTGTAATTGGACATTACTATGTTTGTTTATTTTTGGTTTGTAATTAAATAGATTATCCCCACAAACTTAAAGAAAAAAAAATATATACACATATATAATTGGTTGCTTGAACTCAGTCTCTTTATTATTATTTTTTTAAAAAAAGTTAATTTAGTCTCTTTAACAAAAAGGGTATGTAATTATATGGATGTAGTATGATGCTTTAAGGAGATGGAGATGGAGATGGAGATGGATGTTATAGTGTTATGTGAGATGGATTCATGGAAATATAACAATTTATTATTGCGAGCCAAGGTATGTATGTATGTATGTTTAGGGTTATATTTCACTTAGTTCATTTAAGAAAAAATAAGTTAAAATTTTAGAAAATTAATTTCAAATTTAATAAGTGTAAATAAAAATAAGATAAAAAAATTCATATAAAATAAATTTAATTAAATTAGACAACCAAACGAATAGTTAGGGGCTTAGGGCCTTATTACTATTAATTTATAAGGGGTATTTTAAAGGTTTAAAATTTTTATTTGCAATAAGTTACTCCGTGTTGTAACTTTGCATCGCCATATTTTTTTTTTTGAGTGGATTTGTATTTTTGATCCAAAAAAGAAATTATTAAAGGTTAGTGTATTGTGATATCAAGATTTAAATTGTGCACACGATTACAGAATAAAAAGTATGGGTCAAATTTAGGTTTTTTTTATCGAAGTGTTTATAATCTAATCAAATCAAACTATCATTTCTCGATCCCACTATCCATCAAGCTTATTATACTGTGTACCAATACTATATGAGAAGGCAAGAGTATATATGCTTGTTCCATTTATATCATCTTGCGCTTAATTGCTACTCTGATCATATATATTTGATTGCATAGAGATCCATCAAGATTTCTAAGCATTAAAATAATAAGGTACAAGTATGATCATTACATGATATCTTAGAACTACGTAATTAAATTGATTAACAGTAACAAAACTCATTAAACATAAATCTAAAATTAGAAAGTATTTTGGTTAAAATGAGGTAAAGAATAATATGAGTAATATCATTGGAGATTGGAGAACGAGTGTATGTGAAAAAGGTCCAATTAAAAAAGTTGTAGTGTTACCTAGGATGGTCAGATTAAAAATCCTTAAATTAAGGTTAGAGGATGAGATTAAGTAATGATACTATAATGTTTTATATCCATGTTTTTGTCGGGCGAATAAATGATTGACACGTGTTATAGGCTTAAACCTTTCTAATTATTAAATTAGGGCTAGTTGGCCATTTCTAAATGAGGGAGTTTAGCCTTAGTTTCACATTGCAAACGTCCTTATCAGTTGACTTCATCATGTGTTTGATGAGCATTAGTTGAGATCGACTAGCCTATAACAATTCTGGTAAGTGTTAATAAAAATGCATGTTGTTGGCCCATGGTATAATCACGATTTTCAAAAAACGCGTAATGAATTAATTATAAAAGTAAAGAATAATACAACAACCTTTATTTTTAGAGAATAATATGGATCCAAAAATATTAGGAAAAAAAAAATCCGAAATTATTGTAAAATGATTGAATTCTAATGATCAATGGAAGCAAAGAATTAAATTAAAGTCACTCTATAGTCTCTACTTCCTTCATTATATGAAAAGTGGAGTGTTTAACCCTTAAACATGTTAAATCTCCAAGCTAAAAAAAAAAAAAAAAGGAAAAAAAAAAAGCATGGACTATATACAAATTAAATACAATAATGTTACTCAAACCTTCAAATTACAAAGGAGATACTTTAGACATGACTAATTAGCTTTTGTTTTATCAATTTAGGCATTACTTTCGTTTGATAAGTTTTTGTAATTATATTACTAGTATATATTAAAGGAGAAAACTATGCGAATTCACTACTAACACGTCGCACAAGGCATATCTACTCAATGTTGATCATTATTTAGATTCTTTTCAATCTGTCACTACTATTTTAAAATATTATCATCTTACACATACATGACTACAGACAGTGAAGGACATATAAGTAAGCCGTTATTAGTATTAAGCCAAGTTATAAACAATCATTTAAAAACTTGAAAAAGTAACTCCATCACATGCAAACCTTCCAGCTAGCAACATCTAGCTTTTCATAAAGTACGATATCGTTTTAACCTAAAAAATTTCATCGAATGAAATTTTATCTCATTTAGATTTAATATAACAACAGCAGATGTATCAACTCGGGCAAAACCTTTTCTCCTTCAAATTCCTCCATTTTGGGCAACTATATGCACCCCTAACCTCCCTTATCATGTGAAAGACATTTGAAAACTCAATTCTCAATACAAATTTGTGATTCTTTTAGACAAAAATAAACCTAAGATCTAATCTACTCACTAGAGGTTTAACACTTGGCTAAGCAACTTGCGAGTGATCCAAAGTCCAATAAAATTGTGCCTGATGTCTATTGCTTCTTACAAAAGAAGTGGAATTTTGACTACTTTGGATGGAAATTCAAGTAATTATCAACTTGTTTATCATTTCATTGGCTGCGCAACTAGTACATAACCTAGTACAATATAAACTAATTATAGTACTAATGTACATTTAAAACTTTGGGACTAATTTCAATAATAACAAGCTTCTATGTAAACCTCGTACTTTCCTAAATTAACAAAAGAATAATGCCATAAATACTTCAACTTTAATTAGTATCTTTTCTAAAGATGGAAAATTCCCTGTTGATTAATTAATAAAAATTAAAAGTAAGTTATACTTGCCAAAGCTACTTTTATTTCTTGCTCCATCATGTTTTGCTGCCGAGGTTGTTGAAACTGCCAACTAATTATTCCATAATCTACTAGTATATGACAATTGATTAATTTAGTCATACTTGACCCCACTAGTTCTATTAATTTTAATTAGTATTGTACTAATTAGTACCTTAAGAAGTTAACTTTGAATTCCTTAATTGTGAGTTGTGTTGTGTAGATATGATGTGGTACAACGTTCATAAATAAGTATGTCAAGATATAGCTAACAAAATTATTTGGATGTTGTTGTTAAGCATCTTTTAGCGCAGTCCTTCACATGCATATCTTGACTTCCTTTGAGGCGCAGTGCGTGTCATAAACGCGCTCTTAAATGATGTCTTTTATGTCTGTGTCATACACGCGCTCTTAAATAGTGTCTTTTAATTCTGTCTACACTACGTGTAATCGCGCTGTATACACGTCTAAATTTCATAGGTCGTTTCTATCACATTACTCATCATAGATCCGACTGTTTCAAACACCGAGGTTTGACTGTTAATATTTATTTTATATTTTTTTTTTTAAAAAAAAAAACTACATGATTGGGCATTGTGTCATCACTATAACACCAGTATGATGTGCTCATACAATATATTATGCCCTTTTTATTTAAAAACACATCTTGTCCTTTCAGGAAAAAAAAAAAAAAAAAACATCTTCATCTACAATCAATCTTTGAGCTTTTTAGATAGTCAGGTTTATTGTGAATGATTTTAAATAACAATAATTTTTAGTTTCATAAGGCAAATGTACGGAACTTGAAGTGGCAAAAAATACTCAATGTTTTAGATCTTCAATTTTTTTTTTCTTTTTAATTGTTGTTGATAAATAAAGTAAAGATATTAGGAAGCCCAAAGTTGTATATTAACAAACGTGACCAAGCATTACAATATATATATATATATATATATATATATATATATATATATATATATATATATATATATATATATATATATATATATATATATATATATATATATATATATATATATATAATTGCAACCTAATGAAGAAAAGAAAGACATATAAGTATATTCTTAAGAAATAAGAATTAATACCTTATGTTAGTTTATATCCAAATTAAGGAAGAGTGGAACATAGAATTTATACATATATAGTTGTTATATGTCGCACAATCATAGTGTATACTAAGGGTATCATACCTCTTCAAGAGAATACTTTTTCGAAGGCGTCAAATTTGAGGTTGTAAATGATAATTGATAAACATCAATTATTCGTCATAGAGTTTTTGTTCCTATTTTATCTTACACATTGCTCATATTTGAGCATCAATATAATTTTATTCATAATATTTCACATCAGATTATAAAACATACATATTAAGATTTGAGATATATCTAACAAAATTATACGAAGTAATTTTTATTCGCGCATTACTGATATAAAATACGTCAATTTCCAGTTTATCTCTTTGATTGACATATGGCCAATACGAATACAATATTTCACGACGAAAAGAGTACAATTTTTATTTTTTTTTAATTGATGGAATGAAAGAGTACATATAAACCAGTACTATGAAGCTAAATTAATGACGAGTAACATACAACTACACAAGCAAAAGCGACAAATCTGAGCTTATTTTTTTATGGCAAATTTAGGGCTATATATAAGCATTAATTATATATTTGATTCTCTTATAGTTTCTAGAAAATACTTAATATAACTGATCAATTGATTTACCCAATTACATAATAAATGCTATTCACAACAATACTAATAATTACAATGAAAATACATGTTCCCAATAAAAAAAACTCAATCATCCTGCCTCAGTTTTGCTTCCCAGAACAGCTATATTATGTACAAAACAATACCGCATAACATTTTATCTATGGTGTTTCGACAACTGCTCGTGTTTCCCCTTCAATTAAAGGTATTACTTTTGCCAAAAGTCTAATTTTTTTTATTTTTTTTAATCTTCTTTTGCATAATTGTATAACTCAAGGTTATATTGTTTGTGCATAATCCCAATTCAATGAAACCCATAGGATGAGGTTTGGATGAGAGGTGATTGATTTGAGAGTTGAATTTTAATGAAAATACACATTGAATTAACTTCTGCCATATTGAATAA